TTGGCAATTTTTTTACTGCAGTAAAAAATGTGTAACATAAAATTTACTGTCTTTACCATTTTTAAGTGTACAGTTCAGTAGTGTTAATTAAGTATATTCAAATTGTTTTAAAACACTGGTTTTTTGAGCTATGTAAAAATGGTATCCTACTCTACAGATCCTTCTGGGGTGTTTTTCACTCAACTTTCTGTTTGAGATGCATCCCTTTTGTGGCGGTCTGTGTGACTATGGTTTGTGCTGCAGGATAACATTGTATTTTAATAATGTATCCATTTGTCCCTCCTGCCCTTGATAGATACTCAGATATTTTCCAGGTTTCGGCCGTTGAGAACAGTGTTGCTGTGAATACTCTATACACATATCCTTGTGCGCAGTCACACAGTTCTCTAGGACCTCTGCCCGGGTAGAGGAGTCACTGGGTTGTGGAATGTGCATACCTTTAACTCTGATATCTGTGTGCTCTTTCTATGGGCCTGCCTGTAAAGCCCCCTGCACCCCACCAGCCCCAGTGTAAGCAGATACCTGCTGTCATTCAGAGAAGGGTCGGATATTGCTAGCAAGTCTGATCTGCGCCTAACCAAGCACAAGTTGCGTGGGACCGGAGCCCAGTAGCCCAGTTTGAATGTAATGACCACAGCTCTCAGCTAAGCTGCTGTACCCTGGCAGCCTGTGCCCGGGGATGTTCCCAGAGCTGATGGAATGAGGATGATTAGGTAGCATGCTCTGTGTTTCTTAAAAAAATGCATGAATGAGGCAGGAAAGTACTCAGTGGTTTGCGGTTTGCTCTTTGGGTACACTTGCAGTTAGTTGGTAAGCTGCCTAAGGGCTTTGGCAATTTTATTCACCGATGGGTCCGAAGTGCCACAAACCACGTGCTCGGCAGAAAGTGGATGCTTAATAAATGTTTTTGAATAAATGAACAAAAGAGTGAATAATGAAGGGTTTTCTGTGAGACTTTCCCCCAAAGTCACAGTTTCATAGGCTAAATATACATAGTCATGGTATATTTTTAATGCTCAGTAGAGCTACTAAAAATTATTGTATTACGGTTCTCTACCTTTAAAATTAATATTTTCTATTTATCAGTTGGCTTAGCAGAGCATATATTCTTTGAATATTACATTAAGTAGCTAATGGTTAATTTTACTACCTGTTAACAATAGGTAAGAAGAAGCCTTGCAGAGTCTGACTGGTTTCAGGCACCAGGCAAGTTAATAGCAAGGTCTGATTGGTGGTGGTAATGGTAGGAGATTAATCCTCTCTCTGACAAATTTAATTTAAATTACACTTGCAGGCAGCACAGGAACACTTAAAGATAGTATCATCCCATTATTGAAGGGCTATGAATTTCAAAAGCCAGATTCATTCTACTCGAGCCACATTTAAAAAATAACATTTTGCAGGAACTAATTTATTTGGCTAAATGATAAACAAATTTAAATTCAAAACTTCGAAGAGTTTGTAGTTCTAAATTGTAAAATAGAAATGTATTCTAAAAGTAATGTACTTATGAAAATATTCTCTATAATACCGTAGCTCCTTGGGATATTTAAAATTTTTGGTGTGTATCATTGCCCGATCCTGGGGATAATTGTCGTAGTTCTAGTTAGTTTTTTCCTGATAATTTTAAAATAAATTTTGTGGGGAGGGTGCCATGTGATTTTTTTCCCCCTTAATTCATGGGGTTATGACTATATCCAAAGAAGAGTTAGCAAATATATTTATTTTGCCACAAATTCTGGATTAATTCACTTTGTTGCAATTTGACAGCTTGAAGGTATAAGAAAGCATTGAGAAGTTGAGCTTGGAGAAGTGCGCATGCTCCTAAGGTCATTTCTGGGTGGTAGTGGCTTGGTTTTACTAAGGCCACATCTAAAACTGAAGTTGGCAGGGAGTTAGTGAGGTGTTCCATGGAAATGGAAAAGGGCAACCAATTCAGATTTACTGCAGGAGTTCAGTTGAGTTTCTGCTGCTTTTGCTTGCATGCGTGCGTGCTTGCTTGCTTGCTTGCTTGCTTGCTTTCTTTTTCTTTCTTTCTTTCTTTCTTTCCTTCCTTCCTTCCTTCCTTCCTTCCTTCCTTCCTTCCTTCCTTCCTTCTTTTCTTTTCTTTTCTTCTTTTTTCTTTTCTTTTCTTTTCTTTTCTTCTTTCTTTCTTTCTTTCTTTCTTTCTTTCTTTCTTTCTTTCTTTCTTTCTTTCTTTTCTTTCTTTCTTTTTCTTTCTTTCTTTCTTTCTTTCTTTCTTTCTTTTTTCTCTTTCTTTCTTTCTTTTTGAGACAGTCTTGCTCTGGAGTACAGTGGCGCAATCTCTGCTCACTGCAACCTCTGCCTCCAGGGTCAAGTGATTCTTTTTCTTCAGCCTCCCAAGTAGCTGAGACTACTGACATGCGCCACCACAGCTGGTTAATTTTTTGTGTGTTTATAGACACAGGGTTTCATCATGTTGGCCAGGCTGGTTTTGAACTTCTGGCCTCAAGTGATCCACCTGCCTCAACCTCCCAAATTGTTGGGATTACAGGCATGAACCACTGTGCCTGGTCGGGTTTTTGGTTTCCGTTTCCCTTTAAGAAAACTTTAAAAAGTATATGTACAACTTCATTAAAATCTTGGGAAATTTGTTATACTGCCACATATTGGAAAGTGCTGTTTTAGACACAGACAAAATTCCAGAGAGGAATGGCTATAGAGTACATCTAGAAAGTCAGACCATGGGCACCTGAGTTTTTAGCTCACCTACCTCACGTGTGCTATCAAAGAAGCAGAGAGCCACAAATTCCATAGAAACTTCCTTTAAGAAAATTTATAGGCCAGGCATGGTAGCTCACACCTGTAATCCCAGCACTTTGGAAGGCTAAGGCAGGCAGATCATTTGAGGTCAGGAGTTCGAGATGAGCCTGGCCAACATGGCGAAATCCTCTCTCTACCACAAATACAAAAAAATGAACTGGGCCTGGCGGCGCACACCTGTAATCCCAGCTACTCGGGAGGCAGAGGCATAAGAATCGCTTGAACCCAGTAGGCGGAGCCTAGATCATACCACTGCACTCCAGTGTGGGTAACAGAGTGAGAGACCCTGTCTCAAAAAAAAAAAAAAAAATTGTAAGTAGCAGTAATCAGTGCTTCACTCATATTAATTGAATGATGAATGAATAGTGTATCCATCTCTTGATGTATTAAAAAGAAAAAACTTTGAGTGCCTACTTTGTGTGCGAGACACTGTTCTAGCAGACAATGGGACAAAGAGAGTAGGAGATAAAAATCTCACCTGAAAATTCATTTTATTTTTAAAAATTGAAGAGCAGTCATCACAGTGAACAGATTTTAAGTAATTCGGGAATTTTACATAATTTAGATAATCTTATGGAATGTTTACATATTTCCTTGTGTTGATGGGCCTTCATTTAACCTAAATCTTGCACTTTTGGGATGCTTGCATCCCTGGCACACCAGGCACCATTCGCTACCGAGTCCCAGGATTACTAGTAGCACAGATCTCTCATTCTGTCCTTTCTGAGGTATTCTGATTTTTTTTTTTTTTTTTTTAATATACAGATGGGGTCTTACTATGTTGCCCAGGTTAGTCTCAAACTCCTGCACTCAAATGATCACCCCGCTGCAGCCTCCTGGGTAGCTGGGACTATGGTGTGCGCCACCATGCCTGGCTAACTTTAAGAAATTTTTTGTAGACATGGGGTCTCACTATGTTGCACAGGCTGGTTGTGAACTCCTAGGCTCAAGCAGTCCTCCTGCTTCAGCCTGTCTGAGTGCTGGGAATACAGACCTGAGCCGCTGCACCAGCTCTCTTCTAAGTTCTTAAAACATATACACATATTGTAGATACTCCATTTTTGTCTGTGGCTGGTATTTCAAATATTTAAAGTCTTTGATTCTTCAGGCTATATTTCTTTTACCTCTCACTCATGGTGATATAGATGTTGAAATTTTGGACTCCTTTCCTCGGATACCTACTATCTGGAGAGTCTTTGAAGGCTGTGTTTGAGTGTGATCTCTGGAGAGGATTCACGTCTGCCTCTGTGTACCTGGTGGTTGGCCAGTGCAGGAGCAATGTAGGCATGAGTGTTTGGCAGGGTCTGGTCACATCTGTAATATGAATGCTCAAACCTGTGTGAATACATGTCTGTTGATAGAAATTCTCCAGGGTTTTATTTCCAGTTTTTTCCACTCTACCTGTAGCCATGGAGGAGACAGTCCCTGCAGTCTATGTGCTTGTATTTTTGTGCCCTAATACATCCACCCAGACCTGCCCTCCCACCGTGTTTGGATCCCCAGCCTCCTCTACATGCCTGCCTCAGTGTGGCTTATCTCTGTGGTTCTCAGCGTTCTTGGCATTTCTTGCTTTCTCACAGGCAGCCCGCATTTAATGGATTATTATTTTTAAAATGATACCACCAGTTTTAGTTTTTTCTAGATACCTACTTTGGAACATTATCAGAGATGGAAGGCCCAGTGGTCCATTTATGAATATATTTTCATCTTTCATACCCAGCAATACAGATGGAGAAAAAACCAAAAGATCACGCAGATCACACAATTGGGCAATACCCTATGATAAGGCTAAGGATATTTTTAGACATAAACATGCAGAAAACTTGCCTTACAAGGTCACCTTTGACAGGAAGAAGGGGGAGAATTATTTAAAAAAAAAAAAAGAACCTATTTAAAACTAGATATTTTTGAAGGGGTTTTATGTTGGCAATGTTTCGGAATAGTGATAATTAAAGGACTCAGCATTTAACATTCCATTCTTTTTAGGGTCTGTCTCTCACTGTATATTTCACTTACCTTTCAAGTTTTGTTTCTAGTTTCATTTCATTGAAGGAGAGTGTGTTTGAAAATAGGTAGCATAATGAACAAATATTAACTCTTTTTGGTATAGAAAGTGTGAACTGGACTTTATGTTGAGGCATTTTGAAGTATAATTTCATTTCCAGCATTGAAAACATCATGGTTTTCATCAGATTGGTTTTGCTCTTTTAAAACAGGCCCCAGGCATGGAAGAGCTGATATGGGAACAGTACACTGTGACCCTGCAGAAGGTGAGTGCTGCACATTTCATGTATTCTACAGTCATGTTCTTGATTTTACAGATCATGGATCTTATTTATTTTTGCCTACACACAGTTTTGGCCTTTTTTTTTTTTTTTTTTCCCCTTGAGGTGCATAATGCATTGTAGATACTAACTGGCAATAATTGCTATGTTAACAAAGATTTGCATGCTATTATATTTTTTGGTTAAGGACTGTTTAATTTGGAACATTTTAGAGGTTATTTAGTGCATACACTTACCTCCAGATGGAACAGGTTATGAAAGAGAGAAAAGAAAGGGAAGAATGAAAATGACCTGTACTGTTTGGATGTTGAGGGAACTTTTTACAACTTCTGAAATTTCTTTTCTCTTTTCTTTTTTTTTTTTTTGAGACAGAGTCTCACTCTGTCGCCCAGGCTGGAGTGCAGTAGCATGATCTTGGCTCACTTCCACCTCCATCTCCCAGGTTCAAGCAATTTTCTTGCCTCAGCCTCCAGAGTAGCTGGGATTACGGGCATGCACCATCACACCTGGCTAATTTTTGTATTTTTAGTAGAGATAGGGTTTCACCATTTTGGCCAGGCTGGCCTCGAACTCCTGACCTCAGATGATTCGTCCGCCTTGGCCTCCTTTACAGGCATGAGCCACCACACCTGGCCCTGTAATTTTAATTATGACATATTATACATACCTTTCAACTGTTAAAAAGTGTAGATCCTCTTCTGTGTAAGGCTGAGCTGGAAAGCTGCACTCATATTTCTGCATTTTTATTCCATCAAGCTGCCTTCCAGTCATCATCGCTGTGATTTTCCTGAATTCTGCAGGGAGCTTCTTTTGGCTGTGAATTCCCTCAGGGTCTGTCATCTCCTAGAGAAACTGCGACGTTCCTCATAGGGAGAGTTTTCCTTTGATCCTCAGAACTGTGAACTTCAAGTTTTGTCTTCTATGAATATTAAAGACATTTCTGAAATTAATGTTTATTGAATTAATCCAGGTAGAAAAAAATGTCTCTGGTTCAATGCCCAGATGCCCAAACTTCCAGATCAGTAATCATGATTGCTTCAGTTGACAGGTTTTTTCTGTTAGGTCTTATTTTTCAACTCTTCTCATCTTTCTCACTCTCCTCTGCCCTTTCCCTGAGCATTTCATACATTCCTTGAGTTGTGGATCCCAAATTGGCAGAGGTCAGAGATTTTTTTTGGCTTGGCATAGAGGATGGAGCTGCCTCTGTCTAAAACCAGGTGCCAGCTAGTGGTGCTGCCAACTTCAAAGCCATGTGATTAATAGACAACACCCCAATCTGTTTTGAGTTAGTAGTTGTTTATAATTAGTCAGCAGAGTGGGCCCCACATGGGAAACTTTTCTTGAGAGAAAAGATTTTCTTTTAGCCTTGGAGTAAATTTTTATATAATTGAACCCAAACTTAAGAATATACAGTCACGTATATCTACATCATCTGGATGAAACTGGGCTTAGATTTTTTTTTTGAAACTGAGTCTCAAAAAACAGGCTGGAGTGTAGTGGCACGATCTCAGCTCACTGCAACCTTTGCCCCTCTGGTTCAAGTGATTCTCCTGCCCCAGTCTCCTGAGTAGCTGGGATTACAGGTTCCTGCCACTATGCCTGGCTAATTTTTGTATTTTTAGTAGATATGGTGTTTTGACATGTTGGCCAGGCTGATCTCGAACTCCTGGACTCAAGCAATTCACCTGCTTTGGCCTCCTAAAATGCTGGGATTACAGGTGTGAGCCACTTCGCCTGGCCCAGGCTTAGCCTTTTAAAACACAAATGAATTAGGATTATGTATTATCTCTTTGCTCACCATTGTGTGCACCAATCATGGTTGTAATAAACCTGTATTTTCTGTCTTCCATGCATGTAGAAAAGGGTTTAATGCTTTGCTTTCTCATGAGATCTCAACATATATTTTATGTTCAAATTTTATGTTTAAAATCCATTAATGGGCTGGGTGCGGTGGCTCACACCTGTAATCCCCACACTTTGGGAGGCTGAGGCGGGTGGATCACAAGGTCAGGAGATCGAGACCATCATGGCCAACATGATAAAACCCCATCTCTACTAAAAATACAAAAATTAGCTGGACATGGTGGCACATGTCTGTAGTCCCAGCTACTCAGGAGGCTGAGTCAGGAGAATTGAACCCAGGAGGCGGAGGTTGCAGTGAGTCGAGATTGCGCCACTGCACTCCAGCCAGGTAACAGAGCAAGACTCCATCTCAAAAAAAAAATCCATTTACTCTTTTTTCATTGTATGTTGAAATGAAACTAAACTCATCTACTTTAGTTAAAGGTGTACTTTAAAAACACAATTTTACACTGCTGTAAGAAAGAATGAAATCATGTCCTTTGCAGCAACGCAGATGCACCTGGAGGCAATTATCCTAAGCAAATTAATGCAGAAGCAGAAAACTAAATACCACATGTTCTCACTTAGAAGTGGGAGCTAAACATTGGGTACACAGGGACACAAAGATAGGAACAGTAAACACTAGGAATTCCAAAAGTAGGGAAGGAGGGAAAGGAGCAAAGGTTGACAAACTACTTCTTGGGTACAGTGTTCAGTACTTGGTTGACAGAATCATTAGAAACCCAAACCTCAGCATCAGACAGTATACTTGCACCTGTACCCCCAAATCTATAATAAAAATAAATAAAAATAAAATTAAAAAGGATTGGCTAGCACTGGGAAGAGTAGTCTGTTTCCAGCTAGAAAGTTGTGGGTATTTTCATTTTTCAGAGACAACTCCAGTTGCCCAGTTTGGAGTGCAGAAGCTGTCTTGGCTTATTGCAGCCTGGACCTCACAGGCTCAGGTGATTCTCCCACCTCAGCCTCTCCAATATCTGGGACTACAGGCGCATGCCACTAGTTTTTTTTTTCCTTTTTTTTTTTTTTTTTTTTTTTTTAGCTGCTGGCAAGGCCTTTCCTTTCTTCCCATGAGGTGTGCTGGGACACACCACTAATTTTTTAGTGGGCACATGACCAGCTAATTTTTTGTGTTTCTAGTAAAGACACGGTTTTGCCATGTTGCCCAGACTGGTCTCGAACTCTTGGACTCAAATAATTTGCCCGCCTTGGCTTCCCAAAATGCTGGGATTATAGGCATGAGCTGTGTGCCTAGGCAGAAAGTTTTTTTTAAAGATGTCAAACCATCATAACATACAGAAGAATTAAAAATATTTATAGTGCAGGCCAGGCACGGTGGCTCCCTGTTGTAATCCCAGGACTTTGGAAGGTTGAGGCAAGAGGCTCATTTGAGCCTAGAAATTTGAGGCTGCAGTGAGCAGTGATCACACCACTGCACTCCAGCCTAGCAACAGATCCAAACTGTCTCTTAAAAAAAAATGCAATAAGAAAATCTGAAAGTTAAAAAATATACAGTTTTAGCACAGATTTCATTTTTACTGAAGTTGTTCCAGCTCAGGCCAGCATGATGCAAAGAAGTACAGTTGACACTTCAAACAGTACATCCCTATTTGGACCGAAGACATTGTTTCCTCTCCCTGCCAGCTCCTAGTGATAACTCCAGTTTGCACTATCTATCCTTTCCAGCCTCCACAGGCTGTTTCTTTCAGATAAGGAATTTCCCTTTATAAACCTGTCAGCTGACTATGACTATGCTTTATTTTGTTTCTCATTTGTTTCTGTAAGCCCGTCTGTTCCTGAACAGTCTCTGCTTATTGATTTGACCTTTATTTTATTGAGTGCTTGTAATAAATCCTGAAAGCCACTTATTGAAGGATTTTTAACATTTCTCTTCTCTGATGTACAGGATTCCAAAAGAGGATTTGGAATTGCAGTGTCTGGAGGCAGAGACAACCCCCACTTTGAAAATGGAGAAACGTCAATTGTCATTTCTGATGTGCTCCCGGGTGGGCCTGCCGATGGGCTGCTCCAGTGAGTGTCTGCCCTCGCCCCTGCCAGCCCCACTGGTTGGCCCTAGACAGGGTGTTTGGTTGGTATCCACTTTATAAAAAAAAAGAAAGCAACACACTTTTATATAATATTTGAAAAGTCTTCAAGCTGGAATGGAAGCCATCACATACGATGTTTGAACAATGTCTAAACCTTGGGAACACCCCAGCTTTGGAGCAAGGAGGGCAGTTGTTTCCATAGAAAGATAGTTCCTCACATCCCTCCTAGGTTTAGGAATCATTTCTGAACATGGAGTTTTAAATTGGCGTGCTTCTCACCCCTAATGTCTACCCAATACTATTTATATTTGTTTTAATTTATATTCTTTTTTTTTTTTTAAGCCAGTCAAATTTAGCAGTAGGGGTTGTATACCAACTTTAGTGACACTAATGTTAATAAGTTCTGATAACCCACTACCATCAGCCCAGCCTTAATTTATATTCTTTAAGAATTTAATGAGGAGGCTTTGGTTTATTGATTATCTTATTTGTAAGAGGGATATGGAAGTTGGGAAAATTTGCTATAGGAAAACCACAAGTTTTCCAACTGCCAGCTTTCTGGCCCGAAGAGGTAATGCCATTTAATTTTATTTTTTTAATTAATTTTTTTTTTTTTTTTGAGACAGAGTCTCTCGGTCACCCAGTCTGGAGTGCAGTGATGCGATCTCAGCTGACTACAACCATCACCTTCTGAGTTCAAGTGATTCTTTCCTGCCTCAGCCACCCAAGTGACTGGGATTATAGGTGCCTGCCACCACACCCAGCTAATTTTTGTATTTTTAGTAGAGACAGGGTTTCTTTACTAAAAATCTAAAAGACCAGACTGGTTTCTAACTCCTGACCTCAAGTGATCTGCCCACCTCAGCCTCCCAAAGGGCTGGGATTACAGGCATGAGCCACCACACCTGGCTGGTAATGCCATTTTAAATGATGCATGCCCGATTCCCACAGGATTTCTTCTTAGGACAAATCTAAAGCTAACTGTATGGCTGCATTGGCTAAATAGTTCAAAAGTTTAGGTTCTATTGGTGTTTAAAGCTTCTGTGAGCTAAGCACGGTGGCTTACGCCTATAATCCTGCACTTTGGGAGGCTGAGGTAGCAGGAATGCTTGAGGCCACGTGTTCAAGACCAGCCTGGGCAACATAGTGAGACCCTGTTGTGATGGCATGCACCTACTCGGGTCCCAGCTACTCTGGAAGCTGAAGTGGGGAATCCTTTGAGCTCAGGAAGTTGAGGTTGCAGTGAGCTGTGATGAGTCATGTTACTGCACTCCATCCTGGGGGAGAGAGGGAAGGCATGCCTCTTAAAAAATAAAATTATAGTTAAGAAAGCCTCTATAGTCTTATCAAAGTTAGTAGTTTTTCATATGGAGAAATGCAAAATTTTAAAGTAATGTTTGGGATGAACTGGAGCAATAGGATTCTATGGTCTCAAAATTTATTTAAGAATCTGAGACAAGCTCTTGGCCCTTTTCCTGCACAAAAGCACAAATGGAATGCACCTACTTTGAGGGAGTGGTTTTAGATTTTTCTGAAGCCCACAGTTCACCCCAGGCAAGAGGGGACTTTTTTTTTTTTTTTCATATGAAAAACTACTTTTTTTTAGGTGTTCAGACCTCACCATCATCAAGTACCTCCTGGTGTGACCCTGTGGTTCGGGGAAATCAGGCCTGTCTCTTCCCTAATGATTTCCATTTAGACACTCAAAATTGAACTGTGTGGCTCCCAGTTCCTTTTCTTGGATGATCTCAGTCCAAGTTGACTGGGCCTTGGGCGCCACCAAACACTGAGCCCTTTAGAAAGCCTTTCAGGTCGATTTGCTGCTTCTATTTGTGCCTACATAAATGATTTACAATGAATAGATGGGAGTTTTTCATGACCCATTTTTATTTCTTGTTTACAGAGAAAATGACAGAGTGGTCATGGTCAATGGCACCCCCATGGAGGATGTGCTTCATTCATTTGCAGTTCAGCAGCTCAGAAAAAGTGGGAAGGTCGCTGCTATTGTAAGTACTGGATTTGCTTTCAGCTCGTCTCAATAGCATTTGTTTTTTTGCCCAGAAGAAAATTACCCCTTGCTTTTAAGCATTTGACAGAATTACGTAACCTAAGGACTGCTGTTCTTGGATCCTCAGTACTTTTGGAGGGTGTGAAGATGTGTGTAAGTTATCCTTCTTGCCTTTCCTTGTGTCTTCTCCTGAGGCCAGTGATTCTCTGATCTGAGTGAGTTTTCCTTAGGAACCAAGTTAGGCAATTGTTCCCTAAGAGGATTAGCTAGATTCAGAATACTGGTGAAATAGTATTAACTGGCCAGGCACGGTGGCTCACGCCTGTAATCCCAACACATTGGGAGGCCGATGGGGGCAGATCACGTGAGGTCAGGAGCTCGAAACCAGCCTGACTGACATGGTGAAACCCCGTCTCTACTAAAAATACAAAAATTAGCCGGGCACGGTGGCACATGTCTGTAATCCCAGCTACTCGGGAGGCTGAGGCAGGAGAATGGCTTAAACCCACAAGGCGGAGGTTGCAGTGAGTGGATACCGTGCCCTTGCACTCCAGCCTGGGCAACAAGAAGGTGTGTTATATCCTCAGAGATTATGAGTTTCAGGCCAGGCGCGGTGGCTCAAGCCTGTAATCCCAGTACTTTGGGAGGCCGAGGTGGGTGGATCACAAGGTCAAGAGATCGAGACCATCCTGGTCAACATGGTGAAACCCCGTCTCTACTAAAAATACAAAAAATCAGCTGGGCATGGTGGCGCATGCCTGTAGTCCCAGCTACTCAGGAGGCTGAGGCAGGAGAATTGCCTGAACCCAGGAGGCGGAGGTTGCGGTGAGCCGAGATCGTGCCATTGCACTCCAGTGCATGAGTGAAACTCCGTCTCAAAAAAAAAAAAAAAAAAAGAGTTTCATTAGGAGACAGTCTGTAGTCTTCATTCATCTATTCATTCACTAATTCATTCACTGGCTGAACTGGATGCCACTAGGCCCTGGGGCCAATCTGTGCTACAAGGTGTGTTCACTCCAGTGGGGCAGGTAGACATGCAAAATGAGAATGGTAATAAAGTTGCTTAGGGGCAATACTAGTAGGGATATACCCAAATGTATGGTATTCAATGTTTTTCAACTTTATATTACGAAGATTGTCAAACAAAAAGGAAAGTGGAAAGATCAGTGTAATAAACATTTCTTTTCTAAAACATTACTATTCTGCCATCTTTACTTGGTCTCTGTATGTGTATAAACACTGATGCCTTTTTTTTTTAAACAGAGTTTCACTCTTGTTGCCCAGGCTGGAGTGCAATGGCGAGACCTCGACTCACCGCAACCTCCATCTCCCAGGTTCAAGTGATTCTCCTGCCTCAGTCTCCCAAATACCTGGGATTACAGACATGTGCCACCATGCCCAGCTAATTTTTTGTATTTTTAATAGAGACAGGGTTTCTCCATGTTGGTTAGGCTGGTCTCAAAATCCTGACCTCAGGTGATCTGCCTGCCTTGGCCTCCCAAAGTGCTGGAATTACAGGCATGAACCACCACACCCAGCCAACACCCATGTCTTTTTGGCCAACCTTTTGAAGAAAAGTTACAGGCATGACAGTTCATTTCCACTTACTTCACATGCATTTCCTAAGAATGAGGACATTCATCTGTATAATACTACTATTGGATCTAAGAAAAGTAATAACTTTACAGTGTCATCTAATATGCAGTCCATAGCTCAACATGTCTTTTTCGTTTTTACAGATGGGATTTTGTTGTGTTTCTCAGGCTGGTCTTGATCTCCTGGGTTCGAGCAATCTTTCCAACTCAGCCTCCCAAAATGCTGGGATTACAGATGTGAGCCACCACACCTAGCCATTAAAATGTCTTTGATAGATGTTGTTTTCTTCCCTATCCAGGATCCAAAGTTCACTCATTGCATATAATCATTATCTCTTTAGTTCTTTTAATCTAGAAGAGTCCCTCTTTCCTCTTGCCTCTCTTCCCCACTCCCCACTTTGGAAATGGCATTGGGCTGGGCTCAGTGGTTCATGCCAACACTTTGGGAGATGGAGGTGGGCAGATCACCTAAGGTCATGAGTTCAAGACGATCCTGGCCAACATGGTGAAACCTCCTCTCTACTTAAAATAGAAAAATTAGCCAGGCATGGTTGTGTGCGCCTGTAGTCCCAGCCACTCGGGAGGCTGAGGCACAAGAATCGCTTGAACCTGGGAGGCTGAGGTTGGAGTGACCTGGTGCACTCCAACCTGGGCAACAGAGTGAGACTGTCTCAATAAAAAATAAAAAATTAAATAAATAAAAATGGCATTGACTTCTTTTCCTTACAGTTTTTAAAATAATGCATAATGTATAGTTACAGGGTGGATGTGATTAATACATTCATATGATTTGTGAAATTCAAATCAGTGTATTTGGAATATTTATCACTTTAAATATTTGTCTTTTCTTTATGGTACAAACATTCAGATTATTCTCTTCTAGTTGTTTTGGAATGTACAGCAGATTCCTGTAAGCTGTAGTCACGCTACAGAGCTAACATTAGGTCTTATTTCTTCTATTGGACCATGTACTGTACTCATCAATCAACTTTTCATCGCCCCTCTCCCCCCAGGCAGCTATGTATAGAATGTCACACTTTCTGGATTTTTGTTTGAGTTTTATAACTTAGTGGTTTGGTTGGGCCTCTGAGGCTTTTCAAACTTGTGTAGAAGCAGATTTTGGAGGTACTATTTTTTTATTACCTTAATTCAAGGCACTGTACTTAGAGCTTCACCATCATTGTCTTACTCTAACCTGTGAGATTTTTATTCTCCGTTTCCAGATGAGGAACCTGAACCTTAGTGAGTACGCAGGGATACAGTTTCACTGAAAGCTGAGCCAGGGCTCTTAACCACTGCCTTCTCCACGTTCAGTTATGATTATCCTGCGTCACTGAGTTTGTTTTGATAACAGGTGGTCAAGAGGCCCCGGAAGGTCCAGGTGGCCCCGCTGCAGGCCAGCCCTCCCCTGGATCAGGATGATCGGGCTTTTGAGGTGATGGACGAGTTTGACGGCAGAAGTTTCCGCAGTGGGTATAGCGAGAGAAGCCGGCTGAGCAGCCATGGGGAGCGCAGCCGCAGCTGGGAGGACAGTCCGGAAAGGGGACGTCCCCACGAGCGGGCCCGGAGCCGGGAGCGGGACCTCAGCCGAGACCGGAGCCGCGGCCGAAGCCTGGAGCGGGGCCTGGACCACGACCATGGTCGCGCCCGAGACCGCAGCCGTGGCCGGAGCCTGGAGCGGGGCCTGGACCACGACTTTGGGCCATCCCGGGACCGCGACCGTGACCGCAGCCGCGGCCGGAGCATTGACCAGGACTACGAGCGGTCCTATCACCAGGCCTACGACCCGGACTACGACCGGGCTTACAGCCCAGAGTACAGGCGCGGGGCCCCTCACGATGGCCGCTCCCGGGGGCCCCGGAGCCGCAGCAGCGAGCTCCCACGCTCACGCAGCCCCAGCACCGAGCCGAGAGGGCGGCCAGGGCCCATCGGGGTCCTTCTGACGAAAAGCAGAGCGAACGAAGGTAGGCATGTTCGATGCAGGAAGAAAAGCACCACTGTAATAGGAATAGCTAACTTTTTTTTCTTTCTTCCTTTTCTTAATAGAGTCTTACTCTGTCGCCCAGTTTGGAGTGCAGTGGTGTGATCTCGGCTCACTGCAACCTCCGTCTCCCAGGTCCAAGTGATTCTCGTGTCCTAGCCTCCTGAGTAGCTGGGGCTACAGGTGCCCACCACCATGCCCAGCTAATTTTGTATTTTTAGTAAAGAGGGGATTCAACATGTTGGCCAGGCTGGTCTCGAACCCCTGAGTGCAAGTGATCCATCCATCTTGCCCCTCACAATGCTGGGATTATAGGCTTGAACTACCATGCCTGGCCAGCAATAGCTAACTCTTGTTTTGTTCTGTTTTGTTTTGTTTTGTTTTGTTTTGTTTTGAGACAGAGTCTCATGTCTCACTCTGTCGCCCAGGCTGGAGTGCAGTGGCGTAACCTCGGCTCACTGCAACCTCCGCCTCCTGGGTTCAAACAATTTTCCTGATTCAGCTTCTCCATGTAGCTGGGATTAGAGGTATGTATGCACTATGGGAGGCTCAGGTGGGTAGATCACTTGAGGTCAGGAGTTCGAGACCAGCCTGGCCAACATGATGAAACCCCATCTCTACTAAAAATACAAAAATTGCTGGGTGTGGTGGCGGGCGCCTATAATCCCTGCTTCTCAGGAGGCGGAGGTTGCAGTGAGCAGAGATTGTGCCACTGGACTCCAGCCTGGGTGACAGAGAGAGACTCTGTCTTAAAAAACAAACAAAAACCATGGGGTGGGACCTCAGAGTTTCTGTGTTAATAAGCTCTCCTGGTGGCCTTGCTGCATCTCAAGTGGAAAACCACAGTGAAGGACAGTACTCTGCCTAATCGTGATTGAGTTTCTGCTCTATGCCAGGGGCTATACTGAATATTCTCTTATGTAGTCCTCACAAGAATCATTTGTGTTAGGAGGTTTCATTCCTGTTTTACAAGTGAGGAATACCATGATACACAGGGATGTTATTTATTTGTTTTTGATATGGGGTCTCACTCTGTCACCCAGGCTGGAGTGCAGTGGCATGATCTCGGCTCACTGCACCCTTCACCTCCTGGGCTCAAGCAGTCCTCCCACCTCAGCTTCCACCACCTGCAGTAGCTAGCTGGGATTACAGGCATGCACCACCACCACACATTGCTAACTTACTATTATTATTATTATACTTTAAGTATTTTTTTGGTTTTTTTTGGTAGAGATGGGGTTTTACCATGTTGCCCAGTCTGGGATCCACATGCCTTGGTTGGGATTACAAACTGCTTACAGATTTGAGCCACCGTGCCAAGCTATACAGAGGAGTTTATAGGGGACATTTATAGGTGAGGAGTCTAAAACTCAGACTTGGGAAGTAACTTGCCCATGTCTGGAAGCCAGTAAATAAGGAATAGTCCTACCATCATTTCTTGTCTTCTGACTTTTTTTTTTTTGAGATGAAGTTTTGCTCTTGTTGCTCAGGCCGGAATGAAATGGCACTATCTCAGCTTACCGTAACCTCCACCTCCCAGGTTCAAACGATTCTCCTGCCTCAGCCTCCCAAGTAGCTGGTATTACAGGCATGCAGCTAATTTTGTATTTTTAGTACAGACAGGGTTTCTCTATATTTGTCAGGCTGGCCTCGAACTCCCAACCTCAGGTGATCCACCCGCCTCGGCCTCCCAAAGTGCTGGTATTACAGGTGTGAGCCACCTCACTCGGCCGCTTGTCTTCTGACTTTTAAGATTCCTTGTAGCATGTAACATTTTAAATCTTTTGTTCTCTTAATTGTTTTCATTCTAAGAGGGAAAAAAGAGCACCTGAGGATGCAAAGGATGTTTTAGGCTTGGGATTTGGATTTTGATAACCTATTACATGAGAGTTTGTTTTCTTTGGCTTTTCATGAAGAATTGAGTTATGTTACTAGGCGCCTATTGAAATAACTGAAGAATAATGCAAAGATATGAATAGTGAGATACCTGGAGTCCAGTCCATGAAAATAAATGGGAATGTTGAGATTGCAGTATCTCTCTGAAGAATGTGAATCTTAGGAAGTGTAAGGATTTCACAGTGTTTTTTTTCTGGAGTATAGTGGCATCATCTCGGCTCACTGCAATCTCTATCTCCCGGGTTCAAGTAATTCTCCTGTCTCAGCCTCCCAAGTAGCTGGGACTACAGGCACTCGCCACCAGGCCTGGCTGATTTTTGTACTTTTAGTGGAGATGGGGTTTCACCATGTTGGCCAGGTTGGTCTCGAACCCTGATCTCAGGTGATCTGCTCACCTTGGCCTCCCAAAGTGCTAGGATTATAGGCATGAGCCACTGTGCCCGGCCAGTTCCACTTCATAAAAGAAAAATTTTTTCTACCTTTTGTTAAGATTGCACAATAATTTGGCTATCATTGTCTAGGGTTGTATAAGAATTAATCTTTAAGGAAATCCGACAGTAAGTGAGACCTGCATTTGATCAAGAAAAAATATGATCCATTCATATGACCAGCTATTACATTTCACAGCACCAGTTGCCTTTCTTAGAAGCTGGTCAACTGATTTTTTTATCTTCATTTGTGAAATGCCCATATACATACCAGTAGATCTATTTGCAAAATTATGATGAGCACATTTTTTTTTTTTTTTTTTTTTTTTTGAGATGGAGTTTCACTCATGTTACCCAGGCTGGAGTACAATGGCGCAATCTCGGCTCACCGCAGCCTCCGCCTCCTGGGTTCAGGCAATTCTTCTGCCTCAGCCTCCTGAGTAGCTGGGATTACAGGCACGCACCACCATGCCCAGCTAATGTTTTGTATTTTTAGTAGAGACGGGGTTTCACCATGGTGACCAGGATGGTCTCGATCTCTTGACCTCGTGATCCACCCGCCTCGGCCTCCCAAAGTGCTGGGATTACAGGCTTGAGCCACCGCGCCCGGCATGAGCACATTTTTTAAGAGGAAAATGCCAGAGAGACGTTATCACCCAGCCTTCTGTTCTGGGCTGTGAGGCTGTTTGACCACTAGGGGGGTCACCATTCATGAAAGTAGCCTTGCCCCCTTCCCTTATTCCTTTCTTGACTATCAGCTTCCTTGAGGGCTAAGCATGGACCACAACACTTCCAATCATTGTGTTAAGATCTGACTGACAAGTTTACTGTAAATCATTTGAAACTTATTTTAAAATCGACTTCATACCTTGCCTGAATTGTAGAAGTTACTTTGTTTTGTAATTATAAGATTTTTAGTCTGAACAATAATACAAAATTTGAAGGTGTGTGTTTTAAAACCTGCTCTGTCATGAGGTCAGGAGATGAAGATCATCCTGGCTGACATGGTGAAACCCCATCTCTACTAAAAAATTCAAAAAATTAACCGGACATGGTGATACGCACCTGTAGTCGTGGCTACTCAGGAGGCTGAGGCAGGGGACTCGTTTGAACCCAGGAGGTGGAGGTTGCAGTGAGCCAAGATGGTGCCACTGCACTCCAGCCTGGTGACAGAGCAAGACTCTGTCTCAGAAACAACAACAGTAACAAAAACCCTGTTCTGTTGTGGTAGTTTCTTAAGTTAGAAAATTTATTCTTAAAATAATGTATTTTTACAAGTTTGTTAAGTAAAACCAGAATAGTCTAAATGGCATTGAAAGTATTTAAAAATATTCATACTTAGTAATTACAGTGTTTTTTCTTTTGATAGCCATTCAGAGTCCATAAACCCTCAAAGCTATGCTGGTTTTAGTTAAATGCTTTATTAATTGCTTTGCCTGACTTCTTTACCCCTTTTCTTTACCTACTGGATTCCTTTCAGTGCCAAGCTCCATATAATCTAAAATGCTAGATTGTGCTATTTGCAGTAACTACCTGTAGACAGCCTCATTGCCATCAGAACATGCCTAGTAAGGTGTGCTGAATTGTTTTTTTTTCTTCCCAACATTTTATTTGAAAAGTGTTAATTTGGCCAGGTACTGTGACTCACACCTATAATCCCAGCACTTTGGTAGGCTGAGGCTGGTGGATCACCTGAGGTCAGGAGTTTGAGACCAGCCTGACCAACATAGTGAAACCCCGTCTCTGCTAAAATACAAAAACTAGCTGGGTATGGTGGCGGGCGCCTATAATTCCAGCTACTCTGGAGACTGAGGCAGGAGAATCACCTGAAACCAGGAGGTGGAAGTTGCAGTAAGCCGAGATCATGCCACTGCACTCCAGCCTGGGTGACAGAGCAAGACTCTGTCTCAAAAAAAAAAAAAAAAAAAAAAAAAAAGAAAAGAAAAGAAAAATGGTGATTTTATAGCAAATACACGTATAACCTTCACCTTGTTTTACCAATTGTTAACATTCTACCACACTTACTTTTTTTTTTTCTACTCCTTTTTTTTTTTTTTTTTCTTTCCTTCTACTCTATCACCCGCCTTGTATCTCTCTCAGTGGGTTTTTTGGTACTATTTAAGTAAGTTGCAGCAACTCACCATTACCTATACATATTTCAGAGGTATCTTCCACTCTGAAATAAGAATATTCTCCTACATCAGTCACTGTAATGCCATTATCACACTTAAGAAAGTTAACATTAATATCCCTTTCATATATAATAATTTCTTTTCAGATTGCTCCAAAATCATGTAATTTGTTCCCCCCCCCAGCCCCTACTGGATCAGGAATCTATGATGGTTCATACGTTGCATTTGGTTTTTATGTCTCTTTGAATCTAGAACAGTTCCTCTATCTCTTTTGTTTTTTATGACATTGACTTTTTTGAAGAGTTCAGTCATCATACAGAATTTCCTAGATACAAAATTAACTTTATATTTCTTATTTTAAAGTAGTCCTATAAACCAGACTAGTTTTCTAAACAAGTTGATGACATACGCGTATGTTTATGTGTTTGTCTCCTAGAGTATGGTCTCCGGCTTGGGAGTCAGATCTTCATAAAGGAAATGACCAGAACGGGTCTGGCAACTAAGGATGGCAACCTTCACGAAGGAGACATAATTCTCAAGGTGGGTAGATGAGGGCAGAGAACAATAGTGCGCATACTGGTGTTCATAGCCTGCATTTCCACATTCAAGCACCAACACAGTGAGACTTAGCTGCGATGAGAGTCAGTGATAAGACAGAGGTGGCAAGAACAGCATAATGAGATTATTTTTTCAGAAAAAACAGACATGGAGGGTTGAAACAGTTGAATGTCAGTTTAGAAAACAAAAACAAAAAACTCCATGAATATTTTTTTCTTTCTTCTTTATTTAAAGTTTAGGTCCTTATTCCCTAAACTAAGGAAAGAGGAGAAGGCAAGTTGGTTGCATATGAATGTTGAATAATTTATAGGTCTTGTGAACGTCTCCAGTCAGGAAACACGTTCCAGTAGTAAACCAAACCATCTTCTTGAGCTTGGAACTTAAATAAATTAGCAGAGTAACTTAAACCTGTGTTTAGGATCCAGACAGGCAGGATTATATTTAATTTAAAGGGCAATTCATTTTTATTAAGTCATCCTAAAGCCAATATCTGAATATCTGAGCAAAGCCTTTACATTTTTAGAAGGGGAAAATATAAATTTTCTACTGTGAATAATTTTATTGCATTTAACATTACCATTCTTCATACACACAGATCAATGGGACTGTAACTGAGAACATGTCTTTAACGGATGCTCGAAAATTGATAGAAAAGTCAAGAGGAAAACTACAGCTAGTGGTGTTGAGAGATAGCCAGCAGACCCTCATCAACATCCCGCCATTAAACGACAGTGACTCAGAAATAGAAGGTAAAGGAAGAGTCTGTAAGCTTAGCTGGAAGTAAGGAAGGCCATTGCTTCCTCATTCTTGTATTTAGTGTAGCTGTCCAGTTGGAAGTTAAATGTCCAAGGAAAGCACCCCTTTAAACCTTAACCCTCAAAGGTCACTGTTTGTCATTTGCTTATTAATGTGCCTATTGAAATTAGGTTTTCAATATAAAATTCTGGTGCACTTGCAAACTCTCAGAGAACTATTTATTGATTAGGCCACTGAAAGCAAAACTGGTCAGCAAAAAAAAAAAAATGTGTGTTTGAGTGGTTCAAAGAACTAAATGTATAATTTATATATTTGCGAATTGTTCTTCCTTTATTTATTTTTTGAGATGGAATCTTGCTCTGTTCCCTAGGCTGGAGTGCAGTGGCACGATCTTGGCTCACTGCAACCTCTGCCTCCCTTGGTTCAAGTGATTCTTCTGTCTCAGCCTCCTGAGTAGCTGGGATTACAGGCGTGTGACACCATACCCGGCTAATTTTTGTATTTTTAGTAGAGATGGGATTTTGCCATGTTGGCCAGGCTGGTCTCGAACTCCTGACCTTGTGATCAACCTGCCTCGTCCTCCCAAAGTGCTGGGATTACAGGCGTGAGCCACCGGGCATGGCCTTAATTGCTCATTCTTAAAAGTGGCTATTAATATTTATAATAGAGAAGACAATTTGGAGGATAGCTAAAACAGGTAGATGCTAAAAAAGAACCAAAATGGCTAATATGGCATTCATTAGTTAGCAGTCTACATCACCTCTTCCCTTGTAAAGAGCTATATTCATTATTTGAATATGAATTTTACATAGGATAATATTTTAACCTTGTAAAAATTGCCAATAAAAATAATCACAATATATCCTACTGAACCACCTACTGTTGCTTTTATGCAGAAAAGTTTAGAAAACATTAAGTTAACCAAGTTGTAAAACAGGCTTTTGTTGATTTATTTTTTAAGGAATTTCTTTATAAAACCTTAAAACTTAATTCAGTTTCCAGCGTATCAAAAGTTGTTGATCACTGTTATGGTGCAGTGCAGGAAAACAAAAAGAACATGAGGAATAATGCCAGCATACTAGGGGGGTTACCGTTTATTTCCTTGCTACTCAGTATGTGGTCCTCCTCCCAACCCCTGAACCCATCTGCATCTGCATAATCAGGGAACTGGATGCTACTGCCAAATCTCAGTCTTCCCCCACCGCCCCTCAATAACTGTGTCCTAACAAGATCCCTGGGTGATTTGTGTGCATCTTAAAGTTTGAGAAGCACTGGGCTGCTTGGGAAGAATCAGTGTAGGCATCTGTGATGTCATAATAGAATTTTGACTCTTCCATAGCAGTTTTGATGGAAAATGAGACAAAAGAGAAATACACAATTCTAAATTTGCCTTCCCCTTTATTAATTAATACCTTTCCCTTAAAACAAGCACATTTTTCACTGGGGGAACAGTATTAGACTAATAGCACATTTCCTGCCTACCTCACTTCCATTTCCCAGGTTTCCCACCCAGAGAATAATGCAATTTCTCTGGGTAGGAGAATATTTTAAATATTTTATTTGAAAGCCTTTTCTTATTTTTGAAACCAGATATCTCAGAAATAGAGTCAAACCGATCATTTTCTCCAGAGGAGAGACGCCAGCAGTATTCTGATTATGATTATCATTCCTCAAGTGAGAAGCTGAAGGAAAGGCCAAGGTAAGGCGACATGTATTTTCCCTGGTACATGTCATTGTGAATGTACACAGGTATATATTTATGAAACTGTTATCTCATAAGACATTAACATGTGACACATGCTTAAGTTCCAGAGAGGACGCGCCGAGCAGATTGTCCAGGATGGGTGCGACACCCACTCCCTTTAAGTCCACAGGGGATATTGCAGCTGCAGTTGTCACAGAGACCAAGAAGGAACCCACATACCAAGAGGACTCCCCAGGTCAGCCTTTAAGACCACTCGGTTTCACCAGTTGTGTTCAGAATTGTGTGCTTACACAGCCATAACAAAGAGTGAAATCATGTCCTTTGCAGCCACATGGATGCAGCTGGAGGCCGTTATTCTCAGCAAATTGACACGGGAATAGAAAACCACACAGCACATGTTCTCACTTTTAAGTGGGAGCTAAACACTGGGAACATATGGACATAAAGATGGCAATAACAGAAACTGGGGACAACTAGAAGGGGGAAACAACTAGAGGGGGAGATGAAAAGGGTTGAATAACTATTAGGTACCATGCTCACACCTGGGTGACAGGACCAGTTGTACCCCAAACCTCAGCGTCATGCAGTGTACCTCTGTAATCAACCTGCATGTGTATGCCCTGAATCTAAAATAAAAGTTGAAATTATAAATATATATGTAAATACATATATAGTACACATATATGTATATATGTATACATGTATGTATGTATACATATATGTATGTATGCATGCATATATATGTGTTTGTATACACATATGTTCATACATGTATATAGGCACATATAAATAAGTGTGTACTTAATTCCAGAGGGTGGCTGAAAGGGAAGAGAGAAATAAAAAATTATATATGGAAGAGACCTTCCTTTCCCTCTTTTGATGTTGAAAAAATAGAAAATAATAGCCTTGTCTAAATGCCGTTAGAAGTGGTCACACGTTGTCGTATTTGATAAGTTGAGGTCATTCTCTTCTCCCATTCTCAATCCTGACCTCTTCACCTAACCCTTCCCTACCCTGCAATTATCATAATTTTATATTCTTAAATATTTAAGGGGAAACTATCATTATTATGTTTTTGAAGTAATTAAAAATTCTATGTTCTTGTACGCCTTGCATTTTAGAGGTTCATTTTTTATCTCTTGTGTTTTGAGAAACTGTTGGTACCTGCTGATTCTTCAGAGTTAAACTGCACCTTAGAGACTTGTTTTTGTTTGTGATGACATCTATGTGGCATAGACTTACAGTTTTTGCGGATTTTGTGATTTTTATATTTAGAAACACACTTCTGCTAGTCCAGATTGATAACAGTAGATGTTTCTTAATCCATAGCTACTCAACCAAAAGCAGCCCCAAGAACTTTTCTTCGTCCTAGTCCTGAAGATGAAGCAATATATGGGTATGTATTTCAGTCTCTCCTTGCTTTCCCTTCTTCCTTATAGCTCTGCCTCCTTAACTGAAACCCAGAAAAGGAGTGGTTTTTGGCCTAGATGGTGATTTGGCACACTATCAGCCACCTTTAACCAACCCCTATTGCTAGTGCTGATGAGAAAGAGGAATCATTTGTAGGAACAGCAAACTGTGGAAGTGGGTGAACTTTGTGTTGTTAATGTCTATTTATCTGCCTGTCTAGCTGCCTTTCCAGAGTGTTACTCTGAATATTTTTGTTTGCCAGATAAATTCACTCCCAAATAGGTGAAGTATTGCTAAACCATGGTGCCCAGTGATGATTGTACAGATGTGATGGTCCCAGGATCAGTCTGTGCTGGGGAGGGAGGAGGAGTGATGCTGTGCTCTACACTTGCTATTCAGAACTCCTGGTTCAGCGGGGTTTGAGGACAGCAGGCTTATGGATTAGGATCCTGCTTCTTTGTTCCCAGACTATGTCTTTATTTGACAAGAATGCAGTGCAAGCAGGCCTTCTTTTGAAAGAATTTTAGCCCTAACTCTGTCCTTTATTTGCTTTCTCATCTTGAATGAGTTGCTATAAATATTCTATAATTGTGTGTCTTCACCATTAGCAGGGACCTGCTGATACTCATCTCATGGTCCCAAGAGATAAAATTGTAGGATATATGAGATATATGTGAAAAACAAGAGGGCTTTGTAAACTGTAAGTCACTCTGTAGCTAGAAGAAATTAAATCTCTCATTTGCTAATTTTGTTCTCCTTTTTAAAATATACCTCCCATCTTTCTTTTCTGAAACGGACTTATTGCAGCCCTAATACCAAAATGGTAAGGTTCAAGAAGGGAGACAGCGTGGGCCTCCGGTTGGCTGGTGGCAATGATGTTGGGATATTTGTTGCTGGAATTCAAGAGGGGACCTCGGCGGAGCAAGAGGGACTTCAAGAAGGAGACCAGATTCTGAAGGTAAGAACAGCCCAGCTCTGTTTCTAGAAGTTACTTGTAAGGAGTGTGCTTTTCTGGGTGTTCTTTCCGTAAGGGAAGAGAAAGTGGTTCAGCTGGTGAAATAGAACACCTGCCAGTTTGTTGATGCCCAGCATTGAAGTCTCTGTATTCCTCAAATGGGTCCTGTCTTCTCAGTCCTGGAACCCAGAACTCATCTATGTATCTGTGAAAATTGATAGCGTTTAAACTTAATTTGATTAACGTGAAAACATTGAGACTCTCAGTAAGCACTTACAGGAAAGATTTTTCAAAAAGGTCTTTCTCACTTTTGCTTTTTCGCTGTGTTCCCCCTGCCTGCTGTCTATCTTAAGGCAGTGTCCTGTAATTGAACAAAGGTAGATGTTGGCATCAGACTGGGTGATTTGAATTTCATCCCAAGCTCTCATTAGTTCTGTGACCCTGGTTCACCCAGAGACTTGAGTTTCTGTATTTGTTTAATGGGGATGAGAATACCTGCCTCACAGGGACCCTGGGAAGATCCAGGTAACACTTACAAGGCACCTAGCAGAGTTCCCTGGCACAGAATATCTGATGGTCATTGTCCATTCTTTTTTCTTATTGGAAGATAACAAATAGCTGTAAATAACAATGTTATTTACGTCTAAAATTGTCCAGGAAAGGGAAAGGAAATTCCTGGTTAATCAAATATTGATACTTTTAAAGTTACTATGTGTTTGTATAATCTGTTAAAGAATTTAAAAATAACTCAACTTGACATTTGTGTGTGTGTGTGTGTGTGTGTGTGTGTTTATGGCATTCTTTGTTGACTTCAGAAAAAATTTCAAGAATATCAAGTATCGCCGGGCGCGGTGGCTCAAGCCTGTAATCCCAGCACTTTGGGAGGCCGAGGCGGGTGGATCACGAGGTCAAGAGATCGAGACCATCCTGGTCAATATGGTGAAACCCCGTCTCTACTAAAACTACAAAAAATTAGCTGGGCATGGTGGCGCGTGCCTGTAGTCCCAGCTACTCAGGAGGCTGAGGCAGGAGAATTGCTTGAACCCAGGAGGCGGAGGTTGCGGTGAGCCGAGATTGCGCCATTGCACTCCAGCCTGGGTAACAAGAGCGAAACTCCGTCTCCAAAAAAAAAAAAAAAAAAAAAAAGAATATCAAGTATCTCCTTACAATAAAAATATAGAGTACTATGGAAGTATCTGTTTTGACAGTCTCACTCTGTCACCCAGGCTGGAATGCAGTGGTGCTGTCTCAGATCACTGCAACCTCTGTCTCCTTGGTCCTCAGCCACCCTAGTAGTTGAGATTACAGGCGCACTCGTAATTTTTGTCTTTTTTGTAGAGACAGGGTTTAGCTATGTTGCCCAGGCTGGTCTTGAACTCCTGAGCTCAAGAAATTCGCCCACCTGGGCCTCCCAAAGTGCTGGGGATTACAGGGGTGAGCTGGGAACTGTCTTCATTGGAATTTCTTTCTGCTTCTGCAAAATTGCAGTTCTTATATATGTGTTTTTTTTTTTCTTGTTAATGTTAGTTAAAAGTCCATATGTAGTAAACAGAGGGGTCTGATAGGGGCTTCCAGGCTCCAGGGAGATGGGAGAAAAAAGTCCTAGAATTCTCAAGGAAGCAGGCAGCAAAGTACAAACACAGGCGGTCCCCTTCCTTCTTGGCCCCATTGCAGTAGTTTGGATTTCATTTCTGGAGCCGATGAAGGACATACGTTGATCATGAGCTTTGCAAAAGCTTTCCAGTGAAATTCTAGACCCTCCTTGGCCCTGGCCAGGATCCTAGAAGACTAAATGTACCTGTGCAACCTCGTGGTGCCGCATGATCCTAGGAAATACCACTCACCAAATGTTACCAATGAAAACCCCATCTGAGTGCTGGCTCATACCAGTTTACTCTTGGCATATATGCTAATGAAGAAAAAAGGTATTTTTCCCAACTAGTGTGAGGCCATAGAATGACAACTAGAAAGTTGGAGCTTTTATGCATTAAGGTTCAACGATAAAATATTTTTGTACTTTGAGGGGGTAGGAGATTTTCTAAATTTTCGGGAAGAAAAGTAGTGAATTCACCTAGAGGCATGGCAATCAGATCTATCTGTAAGTTGTTGTTAGAAGGGGAATGTCACTTCAGATGGATTAAAGAGTCATGGTATCAGCATCTACACTTAAGGTGTTTTGTTTCCTGTTATCACCCTGGCAACAAGGAAGGAACTCTGGGAACTGGTTTCTTTTGCAGTCATCCCATATGGAGGTCAGGCAATAGGTGGTCCTCATTTCTTGGGTGCGAATAAATTTTCTGTTAACTACAAAAGAAGCATTCAGTTCTAGAAAGGAGTGAAAAAGATTGAGTTTGCCTACCAGGGCAGAGAGCTGCTGCACAATACTAAGCTGTGGCTGATACAGGATCATCTTCAGGCTCACAGCAGACACAGCTAGACCCTGTAGACTACTAAACAGCTAATCAAAGAGGATATTTATTGGATAGGACTGTTCAATGTAACCTTCAAGTAGAAAAGTGCTGCGCTAGCCTTTTTGCACTCTAATTTGTTTCAATGCTCCTTTTCATGGCCAAATTGAATATATAAAGTGAGCCTTATACACATGCTAATCTCTTTCTTCTGTTGTGGAGTTTCAAGTGTGGCTCTTTGTTTTGCAAAGGTGATAGCCTGAAGTGTGGAATGAAGGCAAAACAGGGTATGTGTGTTCCTTATCAATAATGTGCTTTTGCTTATTCCTGCTTGGCTTAGCTACCTCTTTGCTTATCGTTTATTTGATAGAGCTGTCATTTCTCTTTCAGAAACTTTTATGGGACGGAAAAGAGAAAAAAGACTTCTAAGTTTGGTTATTAACCAAGTAGATTTTAAAAATGTAGCTACCATGTGTGCTTTGATTTTGACCATGATAGTTTTTGGCTGTTGAAGACTGTGATTGAGACTGATTGAAGATCAATCTCTCCTGGCCGGAGAGATGGACTGAAGGACTTCCAAGGTCCTCCCCCAGCCTTGTGGCCCCATCTTATTTAAATAAATAAATAGAAGCCTATATGGTACATATAAAAGTAGACATATGGCCATATATAGATACAGATGTAAATAAACAAATGACACAAGAAAGGATACCAAAATGGGTTGATCCCTAATTAGGGGACAGAGAGGTACAAATGACGGTACCTTAAATACTAAATATGTTTCAAAGGAAAAGTTAACTCAATTGCTTTAGTAAATCACTTTATTTTAAAAGCACCAAATTAGTTTTAGTCTAATGCCTACTTTCACTTAATCATAAATTTTGGCCTTAATTAAGGCCTAACTAAGGATAAGTTTCTTGTTTAATAAAGCATTACTCTTGTGATTAAAAGGATTCTGTAATTGTCAATGACTGAAGAAAATATTTCATAGGAATTTTATATCTTCTTTTCATTTCTACAGAATATTATTAACATATCAGGTACTTTAAGATGATTTTTGCATTTTGCTTATTTATAATTCTGTTTTAAAATAGATTTACAGATATAGAACTATGATTTCAAAATGTGTTGTTCTTTGTGCTACATTTCAATTTTACTTGCTTTCTAACTATAAGGCTGATGCTCTTTAATTTTATAAATGCCTTTCAGTTTTATAAACACACGTTAAACACTTTTAGGTGATAGAAGCTGTAGGAGAAAGGTGGAATTGGTCACAATCTTTATTTGCACACTTTTATTTGAACCAGTTTAAAATTAGCATGAATGCTGGGCCAGCATGCTCATTTGCCACAGACCCTGCCGCTCCCTATTGCATCATAGTTAGCGGTTTCATACTTGTGTGTTACTTTCTCAGCCTCCTCTGGGAGAGACTCCCAGAGGAAGAGAGAGAGAAACAACCACAAGCAGTTCTAATCTGATCTGGTGACAGATCCTTGTTTCAATTTCTTATAAGTGTGGTTGGCAGTGTGGGGAGGCAGGAATGTTTAGTGATGCCCACATACCCAGGCCCATAGCAAGGTGCTGGGCGGGAGGGCTTGAATAGTGACATTAAGGACTCATTTACATCTTGGTTTTGCTCTGGGCAGGCCCTGATGAAAACAAACAAAAGGCTCAGTGGTACCTTACGGTAAACGTCTCTGTTTTTCCTTTTCTTTTTCTGTTTATCCTTTCTAATAGGTGAACACACAGGATTTCAGAGGACTAGTGCGGGAGGATGCTGTTCTCTACTTGTTAGAAATCCCTAAAGGTGAAATGGTGACCATTTTAGCTCAGAGCCGAGCCGATGGTGAGCAGGTTTGGTCTTTTAGTTTAGCCGTGGTGGGGAGTGGGAAGGATAAGAGAGGTGTCTTGGTACCAGAATAGGCAAATCTGGGTTTTTAAAAATTGAGATGGATCTCAACACCTAGTCCTTGGGTCCTAGGTGTGTGAAGAAAATGTGGGTGTCATTTAACTTTCCATAAAAATGCTTTCTATGCATGCACTGAAATAATTTTACTAGATGTGTCAATTTGGAATAAAACTGCCTTCTGAACAGTGATGCAGCCTTACCTTCTGCCTGGAGTTTAACATATGCCAGGTGCAAAGGCCGTGGCTGCTGACTGGTGCCCGTCACCCCTGGCCAGTCCGACAAGTTGTTTCACCTTTCCAGGCCTTTCCCATCTGTGAAGTGGGGGTTGACAGTATCTTCTTTGCTTCAGAGCTTGATTGGCAACTGTGTTAATCAACGATCTCCAGAGAAACAGAACCAATAGGAGATACTGGAATCAATAGGAGAGAAAGAGACTTATTATAAAGAGTTGGCTCACATAACTATGGAGACTGGCAAGTGCCAAGATCTGCAGTGAAAACGGGCAAGGTGGAGACTCAGTAGAGCCAGTGATTTAGTTCTAGTCTCAGTCTGAAGGCCTGAGAACCAGGAGAGCCAATGATGTGTAGTTCTAGTACAAAGGCAGGCAAAAGAGCTCATGTCGCCTTTTGAAGGCCATCAGGCAGGAAGACTAGTTCCCTCTTCACTGAGAATGGGTCTGATTGTTATTCTCTTCAGGCCCTCAGCTGATTGGATGAAGCCTACCTGCATTGGGGAGGGTGCTCTTCTTTGCTCAGTCTACCCATTTACATGTTACTCTCATTCAAAAACACCCTCAGAGAAAGAATAATGTCTGACCAAATATCTGGTCATTTCATGGCCCGATCATGTTAAAATAAAACTAACCATTGCAGCAAGCCATGAAGTTCGTTATTCGTCCTTGTTCCTGTTGGAGCTGTGACTCCCATAGGGCTTATGTACTGAACGGAAAGAAGGTAAAAGGGAGATCAGAGATAGGAGAGGCTGTGTTGAGTGTCTAATACTTTTACTAAGCTGAATGCAGCAAATGATGCTTTTGTCTTTCAGTGTATAGAGACATCCTGGCATGTGGCAGAGGAGATTCATTTTTTATAAGAAGTCACTTTGAATGTGAGAAGGAAACTCCACAGAGCCTGGCCTTCACCAGGGGGGAGGTCTTCCGAGTGGTAGACACGCTGTATGATGGCAAGCTGGGCCACTGGCTGGCTGTGAGGATTGGGAACGAGTTGGAGAAAGGCTTAATCCCTAACAAGAGCAGGTAACAGAGATTGTATTTTCACACATCCCTTTTAATACTTCCCCCTACAGAAAACTACAGAAACCCCACCCACACACTCAAAAGGAAACCCCACATGAGTTCATTACTTGTCATCATCTATTTCTTGTTTATGGGGAGCAGCCTGAACTATAAATAGCCACCAGCTGGTTGGTTGTGAGTAAATTTAGCATCATGTGGTTGGTTGTTACATGTGCTGTTTGAACAGCTTCCTAAGGAGCATCCACTGCCTTGCACCGTTGTGCAAGAGAGATACTGAATGGCCATAGCACACCAGCACACCTCTTAGAGACAAGGTACCCTTGTGTGGTGCCCAGTCTTCATCCTTGGAAAAGCTTATGCACCTCAGTGAACACTTGGTGTTTGGCTGACAGTGCAGGAACCTAGAAAAGAGACCTGCATTTGATTGGGAGTTCCAGGTGTGTGTACTGTGTACCTGCATATCAGGATGAGCCAAATTTCACATTTATTGCTGAGCCACTTCTGGTAGATTTCATAGAGACCCAGCCTTTTACTGTTCCCATTTAGAAGTCAAGGTCTCCACATTTCCCACCCTCTGAAACTTCTTCATTGTCAAGCCGAGTCTTCTCTGAGCTCAGAAATAAGATTGACTAGATTTGATTAACAAAATGCATGTTTGCTGCATTTCCTGGCTTTGGAGATTGACTTCCCATGGTTTCCTCTCAGAGCTGAACAAATGGCCAGTGTTCAGAATGCCCAGAGAGACAACGCTGGGGACAGGGCAGATTTCTGGAGAACCCGTGGCCAGAGGTCTGGGGCGAAGAAGAACCTGAGGAAAAGTCGGGAAGACCTAACTGCCGTCGTGTCTGTCAGCACCAAGTTCCCGGCTTATGAGAGGGTTTTGCTGCGAGAAGGTGAGGAAGCCACATGGGGCCTGGAAAGGATCCCACTGGGCTCTGAGCCCATTCACCTTCATCTTCAGACTTTTGGTCAAGTTCTAACTTATGTATGTCAATTATGCCAAAGCCAAGCTGAATTGGGGGTGGGAGAAACCACAGTTTCTTTCATTTAGTTGTGTTATTAAAATAGAGTTTATAGAGTTGAAATCAAATTCTGACAAGGAGCATGATTTATAAAAAGTGAGCTATTCCAGTTCCTAAATTGAGGCATATTTCTGCAACCTAAAAAACGTTTTAATACCACTGTTCAAAAGTTTTCGCATATTGGCTGGGCACTGTACCTTACGCCTATAATCCTAGCGCTTTGGGAGGCCAAGGTGAGATGATCACTTGAGCTCAGAAGTTCAAGACTAGCCTGGGCAATATAGTAAGACCTCGTCTTTATAAAAAATAAAAAGTTTCCAATGGCGAAGTTTGTGTTTAAAAAATGGTGAGGAGCTAGGCAGTGTAGTTCCAGCTACTCAGTAGGCTTGATGTAGGGGGATCAATTGAGCCTGAGGTTTGAATTTAGTCTGGGCAGCATAGTGAGATCTTATTTCTTAAAAAAAAAAATCAGTATGGGGTTGAATGAAAAGAAAAAGACTGTTTTAAATGGTGAGGATAGTGAAGGCTTAGTCTTCTGTGGGGGTGGGAGAAGACAGTTTCTTTCATTTAGTTGTGTTATCAAAAGTCCATACACTACTTTTGCTGCTTATCTTAATAGCTAGACAAGTGTGTATGTTATAATGGCCTTTCTTGTCATTTCAGCTGGTTTCAAGAGACCTGTGGTCTTATTCGGCCCCATAGCTGATATAGCAATGGAAAAATTGGCGAATGAGTTACCTGACTTGTTTCAAGCTGCTAGTAAGTCTGTCAGTATTTTCTTTTTTTCTCGTCAAATTTTTGTTTTGAAAAATGTCTAACATACAGAGTTGGAAGAATAATCACCTGGAATCACTAGTTGTTAACATTTTGTCACATACTTTCTCTAACCCACTGCTTGCACCATAGACACACACACGCACACGCACACACGCGCACACACACACACACACAAATTTCTGCAGAATCATTTATAACACTTAATCCCTGAATATTTGTGTGAATCTCCTAAGAACAAGGACTTTCTCCCACGTAACCACAATACCATTATCACAGCCAAGAAAGGTAACATTGATACAGCGTGATTTCGTCTATAGTCCATTTTCCACATTTTCTCGATTGTCCTAGTTATGGCCTCCATAGCTTTTTTTTTTTTAAAAAAAATTCAAGCTAACAACCAAGCATTATTCATGACATTTGATTTTTATGTATTTTTGTGATTTTTATGCCTTTCCAGTCCCCTTTTTTTCTAAATTATTTTGTTACACTGATATTTTGAAGAATCCAAGCTAGTTTTCTCCTAGAGTGCTTCCTGTTGGGCTGGCCTAACCGTTTCTTCACAATTATATTTCCACTAAACAGGTTGTGTGGGTTCTTCCCACTGAATCTCGTTAGAAGACACCTAATGTCAGGTGTGCCATCATTGCTGATGCTAGGTGGGAGTATTTGGTTGTCACCGTTTCCCAACAGTTATTTAGCTCCCTGCTTTTGCTTTTGCAGAAACGGAACCAAAAGATGCAGGATCTGAGAAATCCACTGGAGTGGTCCGGTTAAATACCGTGAGGCAAATTATTGAACAGGTGAGAAAATTCATCCTCAGACCATGTTCTCAGAAAGAATTGGATCATGGTTTGCTGCAGTCCCTTTTAGAATGATATCTGTACTTTAATCATTAAATGTTTATAATAAAAATGTGGCTAGGTGCTGTGGCTTACACCTGTAATCCCAGCACTTTGGGAGGCCAAGGCGGGTGGATCACTTGAGGTCAGGAGTTTGAGACCAGCCTGGCTGACATGCTGAAACTCTGTCTCTACTAAAAATACAAAAATTAGCCAGGCATGGTGGTGGCGGCCTGTAATCTTAGCTACTTGGGAGGCTGAGGCAGGAGGATGGCTTGAACCCAGGAGGTGGAGGTTGCAGTGAGCCGAGATTGGCCACAAGAGCGAAACTGCATATCAAAAAAAAAAAAAAAAAAAAAAAAAAAAAAAATTAATGTAAATGCAAACCATTTCACTGTGTGGAAATCAGTCACTGTTCTCTGGCAGTACCATATTGTTTTTTTTGGAGTTCTCAGCATTATACCAAAGAATGTGTTGATTCATTTTATCAGAAGTTCTAACACATTGATAATATTGAAGTGAGCATTAAGTGAAAGGAAATGTTTTCTGCTTCTTGATTTAAATTTACAAGATAGTCCAGGCATGGAAACTCATGTCTATAATCCCAGCACTTCGGGACACCAAGGCGGGTGGATCACCGAAGTCAGGAGTTTTGAGACAAGCCTGGCCAATGTGGTGAAACCCTGTCTCTACTAAAAATACAAAACCTAGCTGGGCGTGGTGGTGGCAGGTGCCTGAAATCCCAGCTACTCAGGAGGCTGAGAGAGGAGAATTGCTTGAACTAGGAGGTGGAGGTCACAGTGAGCCGAGGTCGCGCCACTGAACTCCAGCCTGGGCAACAGAGCGAGATTCAATCTCAAATAAGTAAATGAAGAAATAAACAAATGAACAAGATATATCTCATTCAGCCTTTACTTATTAAAAGAAAGTATTTGATGCTATATTACTTTATATACCCATTTATATAACTTTTCCCTGTTTGTAACAGGATAAGCATGCACTACTGGATGTGACTCCAAAAGCTGTGGACCTGTTGAATTACACCCAGTGGTTCCCAATTGTGATTTTTTTCAACCCAGACTCCAGACAAGGTGTCAAAACTATGAGACAAAGGTTAAATCCAACATCCAACAAAAGTTCTCGAAAGTTATTTGATCAAGCCAACAAGCTTAAAAAAACTTGTCCACACCTTTTTACAGGTAAGTGAAACGTAAATGTAGTCCCTTTGCTAAAAAAATGAGAAATAGAGAATTGAAGAATAAAAGAAATAACAAATTAACCTGAATGGAGAATTTGAAATCGTGTTCATGACTCCTTCAAAAATAGTTAATCCTATAAAATAAGATTAGACCAATGGCATTTGTATATTGAACTTCGTAATTTTGTCTATTTGAAAATGATCATAAAGATCCATAATGTAGTAATAATTAGCCATTTTAATGAAATTCAGATTTTCCTGTTAGACTATACAGTTAGCGACTGAGCCAGGCAGAACACCTTCATCTCTCCAGAGATTGTGTCATTGTTCTCTACTCACCTTCAATACATGCACTAACTTACAAAGTAAAAGGAATTTGGTTTCATTATTTTAAAATATCCCTGTCCAGGTTGGTGGATCACATTTGTTATCCTAATACTTTGGGAGGCCAAGGCAGGAGGATCACTTGAGCCCAGGGGTTCAAGACCAGCTGAGCAACATAGTGAGATACCATCTCCACTTAAAAAAAAAGTGGCTGAGCATGGTGGTGCATACCTATGGTTGAGGTGGGAGGATCGCTTGAGCCAGGAGTTCGAAGCTGCTGTTCCTTGTTGCTCCATGATGGCGCCACTGCACTCCTGCCTGGGTGACTGAGTGAGACCCTGTCTCTTAAAAAAAAAAAAATCTTAAAATAGAAACTTGAGCATTCTAAATATTGGATGACTTAAAGGTTTATTACTCTTCGTTAGGTGTGGTAATAATATTGTGATTTTTTTTTAAATGAAATTCTTTTAGAAATGCATACTAAATAAAATATTTATGGTTGACCTAATACAATGTTGGAAATTTGCCTACATAGTCTGCAGTGAGGGGAGTATGTGGGATAGAGACAAGACAAGACTGGCCGAGACTTAACAGTTGTTAGTTGTTGAACTGGTTGATAAATAGTTGTTAGTTGCTAAACTGCTATCTGTACTTTTGTACATGTTAAAAGATTTACCTAACAGAATATATTTTTTAAGTCCATGAAATGAAAACCTGTTGCTATTTAATCATGAAAGTAAAATGGTCTAAGAACGTGACATATTTTAGAAACAATATATGCACTACCTATATAAATGATTAATTCTGTGAATATGGGATTATTAAGAGTCTGAAAGGGTTACATAAAATTTATGGTCATGCAGGGCATTATTTTGTGGGGGCAACATGAAGAGACTGCAAGAATATGATATCCTCAGGGTGAGGATAGCTCATTGAGTTTATTGCCCATCATCACCCACCCATGTCATTTTTAGCATGTCTCTGATACTGGGGAAGAAGGGGTGAATGATTGCGTTCACTTTAGACACTTGTTTTAGTGTAACTTGGTTTTTCTTGTTAAAGAGAGGTGCACTACTTACCACTTGGCCAAATGAGAGGTAGTTTAACCAAATGCAGAGGAGGAAGTGGTCCATCATAAACTAGATTTCTGTGAATATAGAGTCTTAAGTACTCACACTCTTGGTATATTCATGAATGTCTTTTCTGTCATTTTTACGGTATTTATTATAATTCTTATTATTGTGACTATTACAGCAACAGTGAGCAGTGGTACAGCCTTTCACGTGTGCTGCCTTATTAAGGCCATAAGAAAGGCCTGCACTTTTGCATAGTCACAATTCTGGTATATGGCTGAGCCCAGACTAAACTATGATGTCCCTCACTGTCCAATATTGTACATATGTTATAGCACAGACATATTCTAATTTCCAAAGGGGTCACGTAATGCAGCCTTTCCTTTTGACAGATTAAAAAACGGAGGCTGAAGTGATTATAAATGAAGTTAAAACTATTCCCACTTTATTTTCCTTCCTGCCTTTGTCTGAGTACACTGAATAGCTAGGGTCTTCCCTCTGAGTCAAATTTGGGGTTCATGTGAGGATGGAAGACATTGGGAAGGGAAATATAGTGCATTGTAGAGGAAGAACTAGGCTGAAGGTGGCTGGATGAGGAGAGCAGGGTAGAAGAAGGCAGCCAGTGACTCTGGGGCTCTCCCTTGATCTAACCTTGAATCCGCATCATTTGCTCTTAGGAGCACAGGCCACAGTAGCGGACTAAATCAGTGAGGATCTGGAGGGGTCCATGTGTATGGAAGAGGTTAGCAACACCTCAGTTAGCTCCATAAATGGATTATAAGAGCCTTGAAGGCAAAGCGTGAACATTTTCCAGTGTCTATGTGCCTGAGGCCAGCATCAGGACTAGCACATGGGCAAAGCATAAATGTTTGTAACTTATGTTAGAACTGCCTCTGGTACACCGAGCCATTTCTTGCCTAAACTCTTCAGGAACTTGAAAGTTTTAGAATAACTCAGGTCAGAGGTTGGAATGGAAACATACACTGTGAGCATTGAGCTCATCTGGAATGTTGAAGTGATCTTACCTCACCATAAATTGCCAATCCTTATATAGAATTGTGCAGTCTTCAGGATAGGTGGTGCAGGGTCTTGAGCAACTTTGACCAGCAAGCTCCAATTTTCTTTTTTTTTTTTTTTGAGACGGAGTTTCATTCATGTTACCCAGGCTGGAGTGCAATGGCGCGATCTTGGCTCACCGCAACCTCCGCCTCCTGGATTCAGGCAATTCTCCTGCCTCAGCCTCCTGAGTAGCTGGGATTACAGGCACGCGCCACCATGCCCAGCTAATGTTTTTTGTATTTTTAGTATAGACGGGGTTTCACCATGTTGACCAGGATGGTCTCGATCTCTTGACCTCATGATCCACCTGCCTCGGCCTCCCAAAGTGCTGGGATTACAGGCTTGAGCCACCGCACCCGGCCAATTTTCTATTAAACGGTCTTTTACAGTACTCTTCCAGACTTCTAAGTTTATCTCCCTACAGCTGTGTGGTGTGTGCCTGTAGTCCCAGTTACCTGGGAGGCCAAGGTGGGAGGGTTTCTTGAGCCCATGAAGCAGAGGTTACAGTGAGTCAAGATTGCGGGTATGGGTGACTGTACTAATTGATTTTATTCCCCATCTTACTCTTGTCCCACTCAGCTTGACCAGGTTTTGACTCGAGGCTGTGTGCCATGGTCAGAAACACTGGTCTTTACATTTGAGCACTAGAAACTTCAGGCAGAATTAATATTTTGTAGGTTTTCTTTTTCTTTTCTTTTTCTTTTTGAGACAAGAGTCTCCCTCTGTTGCCCAACCTAGAGTGCAGTGGCTCAATCTTGGCTCACTGCAACCTCTGCTTCCTGGGCTCAAGGGAAGCCTCCCACCTCAGCCTCTGGCGTAGCTGGGACTACAGGCACACACCACCATGCCTAGCTAATTTTTGTATTTTTTGTAGAGACAGGTTTTCACCATGTTGCCCAAGCTGGTCTCAAACCCCTCGGCTTCAAGCAGTTCGCCCGCATTGGCTTCCTAAAGTGCTGGGATTACAGACATGAGCCACCGCGCCTGGCCTGCCTGGCCTATTTTATAGGCTTTTAAAATGATTTTAAGTGTATGGCATTTTTGTGAGTTAATAATTGAGAATAATAGAGTGCTTTGATGAACAAAGTAATTTGAAGTCGAGCTTTATATTACATGTAGTCTCTTTAGTCTCCTTTGTTTTCCTTTTTGCAAAGTAGTAAGAAAGCCCCTCTTCCTCCCAAGCATTTAATTATGACAATATGAAAATAGTTCTCCTTACAGTTTTACAGTACTTCTCAGTTAAACTAGGGAAGCTTTATTCTGAGATTTGCCCAAAAGCAAGTTGACTTGTCATAATAAGTTTAAGTGTTAGGCTTGCCTCCCCTACTAACAATTTTTAAAAATTTACTATAAAATACATTTGCATGTATAATATCAAAAAATTGGTTTTTTTTAAACAAACTTTGAATTACATATTTTCTTGGAGTCTTCAAAGCACTTAGTTCATGTTTCGAAGATTATTTAAGTTGAATTATGGATTTAGAGACCCAAATGGGGCTACCCTTTTATATTACATTGTGGAATTTTAATTCCTGATTTCTCAAAGGAATGTAGACTAGCTAGTTGACCACAGAAAACAGAAGGAAGTTACTGAGCTTCCTAGCTAGGTACTTTGGCTGTTGCTTACCCGTTAAGAGAAGGTCTAGTGTGCCACTGTTAACCCAGGCATATGAAAAGCTTCATTGAGATTTAGCTTACATAGCATATAATTCACCCATTGAAAAGTGTACAGTTCGCCTGGGCACATTGGCTCACGCCTGTAATCACAGCACTTTGGGAGGCCAAGGCAAGCGGGTCATCTGAGCTCAGGAGTTTGAGAGCAGCCTGAGCAACATGGTGAAACCCTATCTCTACTAAAAATACAAAAATCAGACAGGTGTGGTGGTGGGTGTCCATAGTCCCAGCTACTCAGGAGGCTGAGGTGGGAGGATCACCTGAACCTGGGAGCTGGAGGTTGCAGTGAGCCAAGATTGTGCCACGGCACCCCAGCTTGGGCAACAAGGAGACCCTGTCTCCAAAAAAAAAAAAAGTATGTAATTCAGTGGGTTTTAGTACATTTAAAGTTGTACAGCTGTCATCACAATCAATCTTAGGACATTTTAATCATCCCCAAAAGACACCCGATACCCATTAGCAGTCATTCCCCATTTCTCCCCTTCATTAAACCCTCTAGTCTTAGATATTACCTTTTGCAGTTGTTCTTGGTGCCTCCAAAATCCCTTGGCTGGGAGGAGGAAGTTGCACTGACCATACATGTCAGGGCTGGGCCCTCAGAACCTCAGTACTCCCAACTAAGGCAGTGGCTGAGTGAGCATCCTTTCAGTACTTCTCTTTCGTGAGCTCAAAAGATAGATGAAGTCTATCCAAGGGGATATAGGCATAGCCCAGAGGTTAGGAGCAGCAGGTAATTAACTAGTATTGCTCCAAGGCAAAGAATCTGAGAAGCCAAATGAGAGACTCCAATTATAAGCCAAAGGTACTTAATTCAGCAGAGTCAAGGGAAGGCCGCCTCATGTCTGTGCACTTGCCTGTTAAGAGGTCAAGTACATGAGTTGGATATTACCTTTATATGCAGCTTAGGAAATTAGCTGCTGTGAAGCTCTCAATTTTTATTCATAAAATTGACTGTTAATGTGAATTCAGTAAGAGGGTTTTGTGATTTTCTTTATGGAGGGGTAAGAACATATTTCCTGCATCTCACAAATGGCCCTTTTAATTTTAGATTTTCTTTAGGATGAATATAGACTGTACTTAGCTCCAACATAAAGCTTTAAAAGACTGCTTAACATTTTGCGTGTATTTAGTGTAAATCACTCATTTTGTAACTGGGGTACAAAATCTCACTTCTGTGTTTAAGTATCATATTTTAGCTATGAGATGAGCACAGTAGTCTTTGCAGAATACCATGATAAGAATACAGAAATCCATGGAATCAAAGTTAATTTGCTTCAGGTTGTCCTATGGATCAGTTTATTTATCAATGCTGTAAATAATTAATAACCAAGGAGATTGTAAACTCATTCAGGATTTTCCAAGGTCACTGTTAGAACTTCTTAAATGGAAGAAAGCTATGTTACTGGGAAGAAAACCTGAAGCATCATTGCTTACAAAATTTGCTTAATGGTTCTTTTTGGCTTCAGACGTGATAATACAATACAAAACGCCACGGCAATGTAGTTTAAAGGAAATCCTAATTTACCTGCAGTCTGATAATTTTAGGCACAATTGAACTTGTTATTTTGGACCAACTTGCTTGTCTAGTTTATCTCCATTAGGTCCATAATACATATTGCTGAAGAAATGGCATATATTGTACTTTGTTGGTATTTTATATCTGTACGGTAAATTTCTGTTTTTAGATGGGCCATGTAGTGTGGTGGCTGAGGCCATAGGCTCTGGGAGCAAACTTCTGAGCTTGCATCCAAGCTTCACACTTGCTTGGTGTGCAGTCTTGGGCTAGTTAATTTCACTACTCTGCCTTGGTTTCTCATCTATAAGATGGGCATCATAGCAATACCTACCGTGCAAAGTTTGCATAATCATGAAATGACCAACTCCAGGTAAGGTACTTGGAAATAACTAACTGATGCAAGTGCTACTATGTAAGATATGCTTTGTTCTGAGTAGAAAATGTTTTTTCTTTGAATACACACTGGTTGAGTTTAATTTGTATGTATATTCGAAAATGTGTAAGTCTATCAAAATGATGCTGTCTGTGGTTTCCACATCCATGAATTCAGCTAATCGTGTATAGAAAATATTTGGGGGATAAAATGGATGGTTACATCTAAATATATGCAGGGTTTTTTCTTGTCATTATTCCCTTAACAATATAGTATAACAACAATTTGTGTAGCATTTACATTGTATTAGGAATTATAAGTAATCTAGAGATGATTTGAAGTATATAAGAGGATGTACATAAGTCGTATGCAAATACTATGTCATTTTGTATCAGGGACTTGAGCATCTGTGGATTTTTGTATCCAAGTTGGGGGTGTCCTGGAACCAATCCTCTACAGATGCAAAGGGAAAAGTGTATGTTTAAGTGTTACTTTTAATATTTTATTGGAGGTAGCCAACAGTATATTAGTGTATATTTTTCTTATTTATAATATACATGTCTATATAAATGATCTTTAGAGTCTTGCTCTGTCACCCAGGCTGGAGTGCAGTGGTGTGATCTTGGCTCACTGTAGCCTGCACCTCCCGGGTTCAAGCAATTCTCGTGCCTCAGCCTCCTGAGTAGCTGGAACCACAGATGTACGTCACCACGCCCAGCTAATTTTGGTATTTTTATTAGAGACTGGGTTGGTCAAGCTGGTCTCAAACCCCTAGCCTCAAGTGATCCACCCACCCAGGTCTCCCAGAGTGCCAGGATTATAGGCATGAGCCATGGCACCTTGCCTGTATTTATTTTAGATGTATCTTTGTTCCTGAAAACATGCTTTTTTTGTTTTTGTTTTGCTTTCTTTCTTTTCTTTTTTTTTTTTTTTTTTTTTTGAGACTGTCTTGCTCTGTTGCCTAGGCTGAGTTCAATGGCATGGTATTGGCTTACTGCAACCTCTGCCTCCCAGGTTCAAGCAATTCTCCTGCCTCAGCCTCCCTTAGTAGCTGGGATTACAGGCACCTGCCTGCCATCACACCTGGCTGAGTTTTGTATTTTTGTAGAGACAGGGTTTCACCACCATGTGGCCAGGCTGGTCTTGAACTCCTGACCTCAGGTCATCTGCCTGCCTTGGCCTCCCAAAGTGCTGGGATTACAGGCATGAGACACCACACTCAGCCAAAAACACCCTTCTTAAAAACAGTTTTTTGTTTGTTTGTTTGTTTTTAACTTTTAAGATGGAGTCTCCCTCTGTCACTCAGGCCGTAGTGCAGTGGCATGATTTCCGGTCACTGCAACCTCCGCCTCTTGGGTTAAAGCGATTCTCCTGCCTCAGCCTCCCGAGTATCTGGGACTACAGGCACATGCCATAGTGCCCAGCTAATTTTTGTATTTTTAGTAGAGATGAGGTTTTACCCTGTTTGCCAGGATGGTCTTGAACTCCTGACCTCATGATCTGCCCGCCTCGGCCTCCCAAAGTACTGGAATTACAGGCATGAGCCACTGCGCCTGGCAAAAAACATTTTTTAAAGTTAACTTTTCTGAAAACAAACATTCTGAAAATCTATTTTTAGCTTTATCACATCCACCCATAATGTGAACTCAAATAGCTAGATGGTTAATAGTTTTAATTGCATTCATTGAAAGGGGTTTAGCAGTCAAAGTTGTACAGACATTTTCTTGTGTCTGCTCAAGTCTTAATTCAAATATTACAGAACTGAGTATAAGTTACGTCAAATAGCATCCTTAATAAATTTGGCTCTGGAAGTTAATGCAACATTTTTGTTTACATTTCTGTAGCTACAATCAACCTAAATTCAGCCAATGATAGCTGGTTTGGCAGCTTGAAGGACACTATTCAGCATCAGCAAGGAGAAGCAGTTTGGGTCTCTGAAGGAAAGGTATGTGGCATAGATATGCTGCTATAAGGTGAGAGTCCCTGTTCTGAAACTTTCTCAAGAGGGCAGTGAATGTAGTCAAGCCGTTCCCATTTGAAGTGATTCTCACATGTGTGCTAATCAAGTTTGAAATTTCATAAATTCTCTGACCAAGTAATAAAAATGAAGGGACTTTTAAAAGAAGAGCAGAATGTGATGTGTGCAGCCCTACATTCACTTCCCTTTTACTTTTAACGTAGTAACTAGTGTTATATTCCAAGTACACTAATCAGAGCTTACAAGATCTCATGCTCAGCTCCACAGCTTACTAAGGACTTGGGAAACTTAGAGTGCAGATGAGAGGTGAGGTTGAGCAACTTAGAGAATATGACTAAAAATTAATAAAAAGAAGAAAAGTGAATAGAGTTGAAATTACTTAGAATAAAAGTTGAGTTGTGTTGGGAATGTGCCATTGTTCTGGGAGTTTGAAAAGGTGATGTGGGAGCATTAGGGAATTTGTCTAGGCCTCTAGAATTGGATCGCTTCTCCCTGATGGAGATAGCTCACACATGCGGCTGTGCTGCAGGGAGAAAAGAGGGAGATTCTATTACCTGTGGCCCCTTTTATTCTAGAAGCTTTTGGTGCTAGTATCCTGTATACCAGCTGAACTGAGGTAGTTTTGTGAGACTTTACAGTGACTGTTTTGTTGCAGAATTGACTAAGTCTTGCTCTTTGAGAACTAGATGTTTAGTCAAAGTATCTGGCATCTATTGAATGCTTCCAGTTTGGAAGACTCTATGCAAGCTTCACTGGGGAGAGCAAGTTGAGCAGGATATAGCTTCTGCCTTTGAGGGGCTGAGAATCTTGTAGAATTGTGGATGTGAGTGTACACAAGGCAGTGTGCATGTGTTGATATTACTAGGAGAGTGGTCCCAGGAGAACAGGCTGCAGAGGAGCTGGATTCAGAAGAAAAGCAAGACAGTCTGAGGGAGTATGGCTCAGCTTTGGTATGGAGGATGGATGGTAGCACAGACAGGCTACAGGGCCCCTAATTTGAGTTCCTGCACAAAAATGAGCATAGTGTTAACATTGTACCAAAGCCAAGTGATTTTAGGGAATAAAATAAAAGATGCCTTCCTTGGCGAGCACATCGAGGTTTTAGTCACTTGGCTGTGCCCTTGGGAATTTTCTTGAGGCCACTGACCCTCCGACACAAATTCCTCTAGATGGAAGGGATGGATGATGACCCCGAAGACCGCATGTCCTACTTAACTGCCATGGGCGCGGACTATCTGAGTTGCGACAGCCGCCTCATCAGTGACTTTGAAGACACGGACGGCGAAGGAGGCGCCTACACTGACAATGAGCTGGATGAGCCAGCCGAGGAGCCGCTGGTGTCGTCCATCACCCGCTCCTCAGAGCCGGTGCAGCACGAGGAGGTGAGGCGAGGCAGGCCACGGGCAGGAGCAGGAGAGCCTGGTGTTTTCCTTGCACTCTCATGGACAGCTGTATGTTCAGGGTGCTGTGGAAGGCGTTCCTAAGGGATGGAGCAGATGACTTCCAGGGTCTCTTGCTCTGAGTCCACACTGGCATGGTTGCAGTCCGTGGGAAAGTGGGGCAGGCAGGTGGGCTTCAGAAGAGCTTGAGTGGTCAGCACTCCTCACACCCATGCCCTCAGGCGTGATGGATAAACAGAATGGCTTTATGTGTTGGCTGTCCAAATTACCAGAGGAACATTCCTTCCCATGCAATATTGTTGTATGTGCTTGTAACCTTTGATTAGGTTTCTCTCTGTACTCTTAGATGTCCTTGCTTTCCTTCCCCATCCTGCCTTTAACCTTTCTAATCTTGCCAAAGCTCTTGAATATTTCCCTATCAGTTTCCTTCTCTCCCTTATTTCAGTTTTTTAATTGAGTTTATGATCAGATATTCATCTGATCACATGTACTGTGCATCCACTGTGATTAGACAGCTTACGGAATCCTTACACATTGACAGACACTGTAAAGTCACCGCCAAATTAGGACCAGAGCAATTATTAGTTGAACCTCAGAGAATGTTGGAATAATGATCTTTGTAATGAGATTAGTCATATATTTGGATAATTATTGCTGTGGATTTCTCTCTACCAGTTTAGTTCGTTCCAGTCAATGATTTTTTTCTTTCTGAAATAGAACTATAAAAAAAAAAAAAAAAAAAAGAAGACCCAACAACAACAAACTGAAGGGGGAGAAAATACACCATCACCACAGCAACAAATTAGTTTATGCTAGACAAGCTGTCAAGAATAAATTAACTCCCAGATGTCTATAGACTAGATGTTGTTAGTGACACAAGAGGTTAGGCTTTTGGAAGGTTCTTTAAAAAAATGTGCTTTAAAGGAAGAGACTCTACATTGGATGCAGCCAGTTTTTAAAAATGTGTCTGAAGCATTTGACGATGGTGTCTGCCTGTTCAGTAAAGAAGCACCGGCTCAGGACCTCAACTTCTGAACTCACTCAAGTTTGCAGAATTCCTGCAAAGCAGATGAGTGCTCTGTTCTCTCTGCTTGGATGTTCTTGTTGTGAATGAACCTTTATGTCTTGTAGAGCATAAGGAAACCCAGCCCAGAGCCACGAGCTCAGATGAGGAGGGCTGCTAGCAGTGATCAACTTAGGGACAATAGCCCGCCCCCAGCATTCAAGCCAGAGCCGCCCAAGGTACGTGGCTGGGAAGCCGAGGATGGGAAGGAAGAGGAAGCAGGTGCCTCTGGAGTCCTGGGCAGCCAGGGAGGAGCATGCCTGATAAGATGGTATTTAATCACAGTTGTAACTCATTAGTCAGTCTTTTGGCCTGTTGGGTGAACCCCCAAATTAGGGAAGGGCAAAAAGGAAGGAACGGCAATATTAGGAGAGCATATAATTTTAGGACTGTTAGTGTTTGTTTAATCTATTTTTTTTTTGGAAAAAAAAAAAAAAAGACTGTAAAGAAAAACATTGAAAAAATGCTGCATGCCCAGAATTACCAATTGCAGAATCTGTTTTTCTTTTGCTGTCCAGCTAAACTTTTCTGCCCACAGACTGGTTTAGATGCACCAAATAATTCTTACTGGTGATTTGCTAAAGAGAATATCATCAACATTGCTTACGATGCCTCTCGTTAAGAGAGCTGCTTATTTGTTTAATAAATTGTTATCAAGAACAGAATCAATATAAAGACACAAAGATTATATGTCTTTATGTAATCAAAATATTATTTACCTTCAGTCAGAATCAGAGCGATGACTCTATGCTTTTCCTTATAAACAAATAAAATCTATTTAACTCAATAATTTATTTTATTATTTATTATTATGTTTTGAGACAGAGTCTCACTCTGTTGCCCAGGCCGGAGTACAGTGGCACGGTCTCAGCTCACTGCAGCCTCCACCTCCTGGGTTCAAGTGATTATTCTGCCTCAGCCTCCCAAGAACCTGGGACTTTCAGGCGCACACCACTACATTCAGCTAATTTTTGTATTTTTAGTAGAGATGGTGTTTTGAGATGTTGGCCAGGCTTGTCTCAAACTCCTGTCCTCAGGTGATCCGCTCACCTTGGCCTCCCATAGTGGTGGGATTATAGGCATGAACTGCCACGCCCAGCCTAACTCAATAATTTAGATGGGAAGAAAGCAATAATTGATTTTGTGAGCTGTCAGAAGTAGTAAATGTAATAGGTTCTGAGTAATAATAATAATAAGTGACCTGAGTAATAATAATAAGTGACTTCATAAAATACATCATTGACAATTTATAAGCCAGGCAGGACTGGAAGTATGAAGGAGAAGTGGCTGTTAGCATGAAGCCGTGCTCTCCTTGCTCCCCACCCCAGTCTCATTCCTCAGCTGACCTGGGTTTCACCTCTGGGCTGGCTCATGCACCCTTGGTGCATCTGACCTCAGAGTTCCACTCTTCCAATCCCAAAGCCTGAATTGTTCTGAGATTGTCTTCTAGATGCTAATCTCCTCTAGAACAAAATTACTCCAGGTCTGATCTTACCTCTGGCAATCACAGCCCTCCGAGCACATTCCCTGCACGTTTTTGGCTTTCTGGTATTCCTAATACCCTAGTGCAGGAAGGGAGGTAGGGCTCAGGAAGCCCGGCCAGTGGCTGTTTGCGCTGCTGTATTACATTCCTTGTCAGAATGGTATTTGTTGACCACCTTTGGAAACTGATCAGGAAATGGAGTATATTAAATCACTAATATAGATTGGAAAAGAAACTGAAAGCCCAAGGTAAAAATGTGTCGTTGCTCTCTGCAGGCCAAAGCCCAGAACAAAGAAGAATCCTTTGACTTCTCCAAATCCTATGAGTATAAGTCAAACCCCTCTGCCATGGCTGGTAATGAAATTCCTGGGGCATCTACCAAAGGTTATCCTCCTCCTGTTGCAGCAAAACCTGCCTTTGGGCGGCCTATACTGAAGCCCTCTATTCCCCTCCCTCCCCCAGAGGGTGAGGAAGTGGGAGAGAGCAGTGAGGAGCAAGATAATGCTCCCAAATCAGTCCTGGGCAAGGTCAAAATATTTGAGAAGATGGATCACAAGGCCAGATTGCAGAGAATGCAGGAGCTCCAAGAAGCACAGAATGCAAGGGTAATTGTTATTAAACTACACGTCATCAATACGAGTTTTAAATAAGTTTGATTTCAGTGTAGCAGTGCACAGCTCCTTTTCCACTGCTGCAGATGTGACAAAGGCATGTGCTGTGTGTGTCACTTCAGATTGCCAGCTCCCTGCACGTTCCTTGTTCTTCTGATGAAGAAAACTTGACAATATAGGGGAAGAAGATTCTGCTGTCTATACACAGAACTTTGTATAGGGTTCTGGAAGGAGGAAGGGTGATGAGAGAATCGGTGCCTCTCAGAAATCATTTTAATTAGAACGTGATTTTTTTTTTCTCTTAACGGAGTCTTCATTGGCTCCCAGATTTGCCATAGAAACAAAGCAGACTTTGGGTGTTAAAATAGTAAGGCCCATAGATTGTAGTTTTTAAGCTGTTTGAATTTGTATGCCATATGCACATAGAACCTTTCAAATGTCTAAGAAGAGTTTAAAGGTCTGTGGAGCATATTTGCCAGGTAGATGTGGGAGTTTTCTTTCAAGTCTAGCACAACAGCAATACATCTGAGCATTTGTCTATTGTGGTAAAATATACATGACTTTACCATTTCAACCACTTTTTTCTTTTATTTATTTTGTTGTATTTGTTTTGTTTGAGACAGAGTCTCCCTCTGTCACCCAGGCTGGAGTGTAGTGGTGTGATCACAGCTCACTATAGCCTCGACGTCTCAGGCTCAGGAGATGCTCCCACCTCAGCCTCCTGAATAGCTGTGACAATAGGCACACACCACCATACCCAGCTAATTTTTCCTATTTTTTGTGGAGACAGGGCTTTGTCATGTTGCCAGGCTGGTCTCAAACTCCTGTGCTCAAGCAATCCACCTTCCTCAGCCTCCCAAAGTGCTGGGATTACAGACATGAGCCACTGCACCCAGCCTCAACCATTTTAAAGTGTTCAGTTCAGCAGCATGAAGAACCTTCACATCGCTGTTCAGCCATCACCACCACCCATTCCCAGAACCTTTTCATCCTTTCCACGTGAAACTCCATACCCAGTAAATACTAACTCACCATTCTCCTCTCCTTGCAGCCCCTGGCACCCACCCTTCTACTTTCTGTTTTTTGTGAATTGGACAGTGTAGGAACCTCCTAGAAGTAGAATCATACATGATTTATCTTTTTGTGATTGGCTTATTTCCCTTAGCATCATGTCCTCCAGATTCATCCAGGTTGTAGCATGTGTCAGAGTTTCATTCCTTTTAAACAATTTTCCTGTTTGACGGGTACCACACATAACCATGGAAATGAGGAAGCTGCTTCTGTGTTTCCTCTTCTTGAAATGGGATGGGAAAATAAGTAGGATACAGGGAAAGGGTGAGACCAGCAGGAAATCAGCAAGCATAGTGCCCAGTGGTTCATTCTTTCGCTCTTGTTCTTTCCTTTTTTAATTACCACAGATCGAAATTGCCCAGAAGCATCCTGATATCTATGCAGTTCCAATGAAAACACACAAGCCAGACCCCGGCCTGCCCCAGCACATGAGGTAAGGGCTGCCCAGTGGGTGTAGGTCTAAGGCGGGGACTTCTCAAGGACTGGGGCTTGAAGAAAGAATTTCCATTAACCAGATTTCAGAGTAACAGGAAGATTTTTTTTTCCCACTGGTTGTCTGTTTGCCTTACCCATTCCATCAAATTTAATTATAAAGATCACAGAATCAAAACTTCAGCACAGTTTGCTTCTGTGCGAAAACTCTGACAGAGTGTAGTAATTGATGTTTCAAGCCAGTACCCTTTGAACGTTGGAGCCTGGTTATGTTACATTGCACATGGTTAGCACATGGGCAGAATTCCTAGGGCTTAGACCTGTTTTGTTGCTGTTTGCAGCTTCTTAATTCCTTTGCATCGCCCAGCAATGTCAGACCACTTGTGATGCCCTGAGGTCTAAATGGACTGTGACGAGCAAATGAGCAGTCTTGGTAAATGCCACACACAAACAGCAGGAATGATCACAGTGTCTTCCTGTTGAGGTTTTACACTGGATTGCTTCCTGTTTCTGAGAATAGGAAAGAAAAAAAAGTCACATTTTCTTGTGGCCATTCTTTTTTTGTTTGCTTGTTTTGTTTTAGAGACAGAGTGACTGTTGCCCAGGCTGTAGTGGTACAATCTTGGCTCACTACAACCTCCATCTCCCGGGTTCAAGCTATTCTCATGCTTCAGCCTCCCAGGTAGCTGGGATTACAGCTGTGTACTTCTACTCCTGGCTAATTTTTGCATTTTTAGTAGAGATGTGGTTTCACCATGTTGGCCAGGCTTGTCTTGAGCTCCTAACCTCAGGTGATCTGTCCACCATGACCTCCCAAAGTGCTGGGATTACAGGTGTGAGCCACTGCACCTGGCCTTTTGTGGCCATTCTAGCTGGAAGCTGAAGTCTAGTTTTACAGCAATAGAAAACTGGAAACAAATTTCTTCTTTAACACTTGAATGGTAACACAGTCAACCAGGTTGCCTCTAGCAACAAAGAGTATGATGGACTGAAGCTGGCAGAGAACTCTCACTGCTGGGTGAGACTAGCCAGGAAGCTTAGGGGTTGGGAGGTCGCCCCCTGTCCAACAGGGAGCACCTGGCAGGCTTCCTCACACACCACCCAAATGGGCAGTGGATTTGACCTATTACTCCTGTTCCTGCCTCCGCCACTCGGTGAACCTGGAGCAGGGCCAGGAATGTCCCTGGCTGCTCAGCAGAATATGGCTTAGAGGTAAGCGATCTGCTCAGGATGCTTAGCTGCTGTGCACAGAGCCATGCCTCTCCGGGCAGCAGAGGACATGGACGTGCTCTGGAATGTCTTTAACGCCCTTTCTTTGTTAGTTCCAGACCCCCTGAGCCACAGAAAGCTCCTTCCAGGCTTTATCAGGATACCAGAGGAAGTTACGGCAGTGACGCCGAGGAGGAGGAGTACCGTCAGCAGCTGTCGGAACACTCCAAGCGCGGTTACTATGGGCAGTCTGCCCGATACAGGGACACGGAATTATAGATGTCTGACCATGGACTCCCCTGGGCCTGCCTGCCACGGCATCAAGAGTAGCTGCTCCCATCAGGCTGCCAGGATGGATCTTCTCCGGTTAGAGTGCACCGTGGAGACATGGTGGGACTCCAGCTCATGTGTCCTCATGGAGAACCCAGGGGACAGCCGCTGCAAATTCAGAATTGAAGGCTCTGTTTTTAGGACTGGGTTAGAGGAGTCTGTGGCTTTTCGCTCAGAATTAAGCAGAACATTACAGTCAGATCCTGTTACTTGCTTCAGAGGACCAAAATCTGTATTCTGTTTGCGTACTTTTAATATGTATATTAAGCAATAACTATTTTTCCTCATTAATAACTGCCTTCAGGGACTGTTTCAATGTGAGGCAGAATGTGAAAAAGGAATAAAAAATACTGTTGGACTCAAACTACATTCAAAGAAGTACTTTATTGCAACTATCTTAAGTGCCTTGGATGAGAAGTGTCTTAAATTTTCTTCCTTTGAAGCTTTAGGCAGAGCCATAATGGACTAAAACATTTGACTAAGTTTTTATACCAGCTTAATAGCTATAGTTTTCCCTGCACTGTGTCATCTTTTCAAGGCATTTGTCTTTGTAATATTTTCCATAAATTCTGACTGTATATATCATAGCTATACTTGATAGTTTGGCTATAATAGTTTGAAGACCAAGAAGTTGGTATTGAAAGTTTTTGTCAATACAACTGTTGTGTTGACAGCAGTCAGTTTTATAATTTAATAAAAAGGAATACATTGCAATCCATAATTTTCTTTGTGGTGGATTTGTACACGACTTCCTATTTTTAAATGCAACTTTTATTTCAGTTACTAATCATAGAAGTGTGAATGCTTCTTGTTGAACATTGGAAAATGGAAACATGTGGAAAAGAAAATTAAAATTACCCATAATCCCATCCCTCAGATAATTTGGGGGCATTTTCTCCAATGATGTGTTTGTGGATGTCTGTGTGTATGATCGCTGAGAGTGTACTATGTTTGTAGTTGTGTTTCCTATTTTTTTCTGTTTAGCATTCTATCACTAACATTTCTCAGGTGGTTATGACTGTGCACACAAGGTAGTTAAAGCTTGGTGCACACATCATCACTAACAACCACAGAACAGTATATTCTATGACTGCTTCATAAGTGAACAATTCTATTGTTGGCCATTTGGATTATTTCCAGTTTTTTTTTTTTTTTTTTTTAACATGAAATGCACCTCTTTGGATGTATCCAGTTTTGTATATCATTGGTCAGCATTTCAGTATATTTCTGTAGGCAAGTTCTCAGAGGTAGAATTACTGAGGAAAAGTATAGAAACATTTTTATGGCTCTTGATGTTTACTGCCAAATGACTTCCTAGAAAAGTTGCATCCATTTACACATCCTCTCCTCCTTCTCCTCGTCCTTCTCCTCCTTCTTCCTCTTCATATTTCTTCCTTCTTCTTGTTCTTGTTCTTCTTTTTCTTTCTTCTGCTTTTTCTTCTTCCCCCCACTGCCTTTTTTTTTTTTCTAAAGACAGTCTTGCTTTGCTACCCAGGCTAGTCTTGAACCCATTTAGTGATCCTCCTACCTCAGCCTCCCAAAGTGCTGGGGTTACAGGTGTGAGCCACTTAAATTCTTGAAGTACTAAGATAAGTTTAGAATTTAAGCAAGACAGATGAGGACTTTAGGCTTGTATGAATAAAAAGAACAATGAATTTGGAAAAGGAGAAAAGAGTCTTGATTCCATTAAGGGTCTTTTATGATATGAATTGACACAAAGGAGTGAAGCTTGTGTTTTAGTGGAGTTAGAAATTTGGCTTACTGGTAACTGAGTTATTCTATAAACATGTCCTTGTTTATGTCTCTTTCAATATGAGTGTTGTCACTTACAAATCATTTAATGTATCTTGAATTTCTGAACACTCCTCAAGGTACTGACTAAAATTTGCATATTTCACAAATAAAAGACACTTTTTGTGAATAGGAGAAAAATATAGTAGTTAAATATATGATGATGCAGTTTGCTTGTGTTCTTTAAATCCAGGAATGAGCCCTTTGCAAAATACGGAGAGGAGAAGAGGAGGGTTTCAGCAGGAGCTGGGTTGTCGTCTGGCTCCAGCAATTTCATGATGCAGTCAGTGCATCACACAGCTCCTGAGAAGGTCTCGCAGTGCCTGTCGGACCACCAACACCTCCGCCACCCCTTTTTAATTCATATCCTCCTTTGTTCTGGGAAAGATTTAAAGCTACCTATAGTACACATGGAACATAACGAAAAAAGTGGTACCAAGCAAATGAAGAAACAGAAGATTATCAGTAGAGGGAAGATAGGGCCATGAGTGAGAGCCGTGTTCACTTTCTGCATTGTCAGGACTCTGCAGCTCTCCAAAAGCTAGCGTAGCCCTGGTGGCACCTGTATCTATGACAGAATTATGCCTGTGCTTCTAGCCGGGTGAGGTAGATGAGCAATGGGGCTTTCAGAATGATATCAGGTGCTACTGATGTCACTACCATCGATAGTAATTTGACAGTAACAAATTCTTTATATGAAGAAAAGTTGGTTAGGAACAGTCCATTTAAACAATTACGGCTGTCTTTTTTTTTTTTAGATGGAGTCTTGCTCTGAGTCTCTCTCTGTCTCCCAGGCTGGAGTGCAGTGGCAAGATCTCCGCTCACTGCAACCTCCGCCTTCGTGGTTCAAGCAATTCTAATTCTGCCTCAGCCACCCAAGTAGCTGGGACTACAGGCACCCACCACCATACCCAGCTAATTATTTGTATTTTTCGTACAGACAGGGTTTCACTGTGTTAGTCAGGATGGCCTCCATCTCCTGACCTCATGATCCACCTGCCTTGGCCTCCTAAAGTCCAGGGATTACAGGTGTGAGCCACCGCACCAGACCTATAGAAAAACGTGCCCGGCCAATCCTCCCCTTTCCCTTTGAAACTCTTTTCATTTGGGGTCGTTTTGCCAGTTCTAGCTTTCGTGTGTGTGTGTGTGTGTATATATATATATATATATATGATGTATATATATATATATATATGATGTATATATATCATATATATATATATATATATGATGTATATATATTTGAAGAGAAAGAGATTTAAGGAATTGGCATACAAGATTGTAGAGGATTGGCAAGTCTAAAAATTGAAGGGTAGTCCAGCAGGCTGGAGACCCATGGAAGAGATGCAGTCCAATCCTCCTAGCTAGTGTGAGGTTAGTCTTTGCTCTATTAGGGCCTTCAACTGATTGGATGAGGCCTACCTACTTTTTAGAGGGCAGTCTGCTTTACTCAAAGTCCACCAATTTAAGTGTTAACCTCCTAAATAAACAAACAAAACTTTTACCAAAACATCCAGAATAATGTTGGACCAAATATTATTGGTTACCATGGCCCAGCCAAGTTGATACATAAAAATTAACCAACTGGCCGGGTGCAGTGGCTCATGCCTATAATCCCAGCACTTTGGGAGGCCGAGGCGGGTGGATCACGAGGTCAAGAGATCGAGACTATCCTGGTCAACATGGTGAAACTCCGTCTCTACTAAAAATACAAAAATTAGCTGGGCATGGTGGTGCACGCCTATAGTCCCAGCCACGTGGGAAGCTGAGGCAGGAGAATTGCTTGAACCCAGGAGGCTGAGGTTGTGGTGAGCTGAGGCCGTGCCATTGCACTCCAGCCTGGGTAACGAGAGCAAAACTCCGTCTCAAAAAAAAAAAAAAATTAATCATCACAATCTCTCATCCCCTTTAGCATGTAGGTCACCCTGCAGCTATCCTTTTTGTTTAGTTAAAGCATGAGTTAAAGTATGAGTTTAAAGTTAATAAAGTTTACTAACTTTAATAAAGTTAGTAAAGCTTAAAGCATGAGTGAATCAACCAGAAAAAGGGAGAATTATTTACATATATTTACACATATGTCTAGGTTTTATACAATCTATATACTCTGGATATACATATACTATAAATTTTGTTTTTGTTTAATTTTTTTGAGACACGGTCTCACTTTGTCACCCAGGCTTAATTAAGTACAGTGGTGCAGTCATGGCTCACTGCAGCCTTGATCTCCTGCTCTCAAGCAATCCTCACACCTCAGACTCCCAAGTATCTGGGACTACAGGTGTTTGCCAGACCTCCTGGAATCAAGTGATCCTCCTGCCTCAGCCTCCTGAGTTAACTGGGACTACAGGTGCACCACTGCACCTGGCTAATGTTTAAAAATTTTTTAATTTTAGTAGAGCTGGAGTGTGGTGGGGGGGGCAGCAGAGGGAGTTGTGGGTGGGAGTAGGAGGCGCTCCCAGGAGTGGCTTTCCAACAGCAGGTGTTGCACTCCTGCTGCCACTGAGGAGGCAGACATTCCCTCTTGTGAAGGACTCTCCCCTGTTAGTGGTGAGCATTCCCCTTCCCCAGGCCAGACAGGTGGCCGAGCAATGGAGCTAAGAGAGAGTTCAGACTCCCAGGTTCGAAGCCTGACTCTCTCTCACTGGCAAACTGAAACCCTCAGTTTCAGTCAAGTGGAATGAATAATAATGCCCTCCTAACAGGCTTGTTATGAGGATGACATGAATTAATCCACATATATCTTGGAGAAGAGTGCTCACATCAGAAGCAGCACGTAAACAAGGTTGTGAGTAGGCGTCCTCTTCCTGCAGAGAGCTCTCATCCTGGGGTGTTGGTTGGGACCACAGCAGGTATCCCTGAGCTGAGAGGCCATCTTCCTTGCCTGAGCAACTGTTGGTCTTCCCCTGCCTAGCCAGACCCAGGCCTGAACCCCATCCTCTTCCTCATTTCCATTCTGCTAACATTTTGGCAGCAGCTCATTGTTGAGATGCTTTCTTTTCCACATGGATTATATAATCTTCAAAGAAAATGACACCAATTTTCTCTCCAAGTATGATAGACTGGATCAGCTCCCATTGGGGTAAGGAGGTCTCAGTCCTGGTCCCAGCGTTGCTACTTGTTAGCTCTGTGATTTTAAGGATAGCATCAAAATTCTCTGGGCCATGGTTTTCTCACTAAAGAAGGGAGGAGTTTGAATTGAGATGGAGTCTTGCTCTGTCACCCAGGCTGGAGTGCAGTGGTGCGATCTTGGCTCACTGCAACCTCTGCCTCCCGGGTTCAAGCAATTCTCTTGCCTCAGCCTCCCAAGTGACTGGGACTACAGGCATGCACCACTGCGCCTAGGCAATTTTTATATTTTTAGTAGAGACGGGGTTTTACCACATTGGCCAGGCTGGTCTCGAACTCCTGACTTTGTGATCCACCTGCCTTGGCCTCCCAAAGTACTGAGATGACAGGCGTGAGCCCCTGCACTTGCCCAAATTTAATTTTTTAAAAGTGCCCTGAGCTACCACTCCATGAGAGATAATGTATGGGGGGCACAGCAGGGGATGTAAAAACAAAGGTTCCATGCTCCCCCACAAAGAGCTCCACTCTGGGGCAGAGGAACACCATGGTGAAAGGACACATCATCTTCTAGCTATGTTTGACTCTGACCCTCTAGAATTATCTGTTGTCACCCTTGAATCCTACCACCGCTATCGTGCTGAACAGTGAACAAATATGTCTGTTGCTAGTCCTTGCTCTTTCACCAGGTATCCATTCTGTCTAAAGAAAAATTCCACCAGACAACAATCCTAGTTCTGAACCATTGGTTTAGCGTGGCATGTGTGCCCCCAAAAAGGTCCTCTTCCTGGTTGAAGTCCAAGGTTATGGTCATAGTTTCCAAAGTTCAGATTCAGATATTAGATGTATGGCCCTGAGTTTCTCGGGGTTGGTAATGCCAGAGATGTTCTCCCAGCTCACCTGTGCCCTTTTCTGGGAGGCCTCTGCCTGATAGTTCAAATCAGCAGGACTGGAGGCTTCTGTCTCAGTAATTCAACAACTACAGCACCTGGTTCTTTTCCCTTAAGATTTAATACTTGTCATTTCTCTATGTCAAAATTGCAAAGGAGCAAGTTTCCAAAGACAGATTTATTATGTGCGCTGAGTGTCTCAGGTGCAGCAGTGCATATAGATGGGCTGAATCCCATATTTTCCCCAAGTTTTTGTTCTACAAAAATCGCCACTTTTACTTTGCATTCAGACAAGTGAGAAATATACAGTCTTGAGCTGTGAGTCACCACAGGGCACTCACAGACAGTAACATTATTGTGAGACTGGGCTCCAGCCATTGGTTTCAGGATCAGCTGCCTAACTTGCATATGGGTTTGCATAGGCAAGGAGCAAGTTGTAACTAGAGCTGGTTACATAATTTGTGAGGCTCAGAGCAAAATGAAAATGTGGAGGTTAAAAAGCAGGAAAAAAAAAAGTGCTGTTACAGATAAAGCTTTTTTTTTTTCTTTCTTTTGCAGTCTCTCTCCCAGCTTGTCATGGTGTTTTTCATCTGTTACTTAATGTCATTCTAAGAAAAATTAAAGTTTTCAATTATTAGCATGAATTTTACATTTTAACACTGTGCAACGCAAAAATAAATGCAAATAGACAAGTACTTAATGTGTTTGTGGAATCACTGAACTTACACAATTTGCATTTTGCAGCCCCTCCCCAAAGGGTGCCTTGAGCTGTCCAGAAGAGACAAACCAAAGCCTGGCTCTGGAAGGGAAGAAAAGAGAGAGGACACCCCTCCCCTGTGCAAGGCATGCTGCCTGTGGTAGCTGGCTGAGGGAGTGCTCCAGGTGTGGGGACACTTGTAGGGGAGTGTGGAACCTCATAGGTGCCCTGGACCTCTGCCCCTTGATGGAAGGGGCATGCACACTCTTCCTGCTTGAGGGCTGCCAAGGAACCCTGCCTGAGGCAGCCAGAGGCAACTGGGGTCTTTCCTTTCCATGGGCTCTCTCTCCTCTAACCCGTGGCAGTTGGGTTCCCTGGAAGATTTTTGAACCTGTGTGCTGGGATGTGCTTGGTACCTGGACTGGGTAGGTGAGGCTAGATCCCCTGGAGATGGGGCCTCCAGCTAGCCATCCAGTAGGTGAGTAGGGGTGCTGCCGAGCCTCACCACCAAGACTCTGTGGGAGTGTGCTGGGTCCCCGACTCTCCCTGTGTCCTGCCTGGGGTGAAGAGCAGCCACAGTTGTGGGGTGGGGCCTGGGGGAGATAGAGGCTTCACAGGCCCCACTGAGAACCATCCTGAGAAGGTGGCAAGAGGTAGGACCACAAGTAAGCTGAGGCTCTAAGCCCCTGTGAGTGCCCCATTGTCCCATCAGACTCACAAAACACAAATTCAAAGCTACAATTCTTAAGAATTTCAACATGGTGACCACAGAGCATTAAACCTTCCGAGAAGGAAGCCCAGTGTGAGGCCACTGGCCATGAGGGCTGCCCTGGTTGTAACCCTAGATCCACAGCATGGCCTGGACCGACACTGCCCTACTTAGTAATCCTTGGAGCTCTGATCCTTTTAAGACCATCACCCAACAGGCCAGTGGGTTTCAGCACCATGACACAGAGGGAAACAAGGAACAAATGTTGGACATAGAGGCAGAAACCCTGGTCCTGCTTCTGCATGACCCTATCATCTGTGTTACTTTGATAAAATCATTCTGCTTTCCTACATTTACCTCTTACCACAGGGTGAGGAGGATGGTGTCCACCTTTCTCCTTTGCCTTCCCAAGATATTCAACATGGAACTCTAAAGGAAATTTATGAAGGCGTCTCCAATCCTTAGAAAGCAGATGTCATAGAATCACAGGGTTGAAGAGAAAGTGTAAGCTAGCTGGGTCAATTTTTTACTCTATACTTCAATTCCTCCTTCAACATTCCACTAAGAAATCGACTCACCCCCTGCTTGAATATCTCTTGTGACAGAGAACTCCCTACCTTTCAAGGCATCTCATTCAATGATTGGATAACTCCTATTGCTGTAAAGTGCCTAGAATAGTGTCTGGCACATATTAGGTATTCCATAAATACTTTTTTCTTTCATGATTGAGATTCTATTGGTTGCATTGAGGATCAGTTTACAGACATTTCAATTTGTATACAATTCATAACATACATACTGATAATCTAAAAAGCCATTATTCCTTTTAAAGTTGTTCCAGTGACTTTCCAGCTTAAAATTTGGAGGCAGTTTTTCCTTAAGAGGCTATCAAATACCAGAATCCCAGTATCTTCATATATTGATAAACTGTTAACATACGTCTCACCAATTCAAAACTGAATAGCATATACACCACATACTCAAATTTTCAATCTTCCACAGCACATTAACAAAGTTATTAGGAAAACAGGACTGTGACCAAATATGTTACAGAGTGCACACAATTCTGACAGGGAGAGTCATGTTCAAGGGCTGGCTTTCTTTAGGAAACAAATCTACTGAAAAACGATGTGGAAATAGAAGTAATTTAAAATGTCCAAGACATGAAATGCAGGACTGTCACTCCTGACTTCATGTTGCTATTCATATGCTTTATATTATAGTATATACAAACTAGCCACCCATCTATGGAATGTTAAGCTAACACCCAAGACAGTGAAAGCCTTCCATAATTCAATATCCCACACTGTCTTCTGGTTGTACCAAAAAATAACCAGCAAATGACTTTATCTCTTAAAAAACATATACTTAAAAGATGGGATGAGGTGGAATTCCCTTCTTAAAAATGTTTCTGGAGCTACTAAAAACCTTGCATTTACAAAAAATGTTGATAAAAATACTCTTCTGGATTGTACAAGAGGGGAGACAGGGACCGCCGATAAGACAGCACACATGATATTAATCAGACTTGGCTTCTTCCTCTCTGGCTTCATCAGAGGCTGGGCTCTCCTCGATTTTAGTTTCTCCATTTTCTGCAGGTGAATGTTCTTTAGTTTCTTGGTTAGCCACTTGGCCTGTTTTCTCTTTGCTCCCTCTTTCCCTTTTGTTTGTATTTTTTGTCTGAGGATGTACCCTTTCCTGCTGCGTTTTCGGCTTCACTTCCACTTTTGCAGGAGCAGGTTTAGCTGACAGCCATGCCCATCGCCTCTTGGGCTCTTCCTTCGCTGCCCCTTGGGCAGAACTGCCCTTGCTCTCAGGCGTCGGCAGTGGGGAGGGCGCGAGCCGGCTGCCTGTGAGCTCCGGTGCTCTGAGAGGCCTCGCGAGGCTGCGCTCAATATTCATTAATGATCAAAAAAGAATTTATGCTGACAGCCCAAGTCTCCCTTTCCATACTTTCCACCTGAAGACTTAGCTCTCCCTTCTGGTGCAAAACAGGAATGCCTAATCTGTCTTCCATGAGATTCAAGAAACTCAAGAGGCTGCAGCTCCATGGGCCTCGGTCGGTCTCCTCCGTGCTGCTCCTGGTTAAACTCTTATTCCTCAGGTAGGACGGTGCTGATCTACTCTCCATCGGCCTGTGGTGCCTGGTACCGGACACCACATCCCTGACAACATCCCGGATGTGCCCTGACACCTCAGGGCTCTCCCCCATAGAACCCGGTGTGCCCCATCTACTTGAAGAACTACCCAAGAGGCTTTGCGGGAGGTTTGGCTCCTCCTCACCCCTTCCGGGCTCGACGTGCCGCCCACCACCCCGTACCCTTCCGGGTATACTTCCGGTCAGGCAGCCGTCAGCTCGCAGCTCAGGGGCATCAGCTGTGGTGGCTTGCTCTTGCAGCCCAGGAACGCAGAGCAGTCCAGCACTGAAGCTGCGAGCGCTGAAGCCAGATACCTTCTCTAGGTGACTTTTTCTGGTCACATTCTCCCAGCTGAATAGAATGAACTTTGGTGTTTCTGGCCTCCAGTTCCTGAACTCTGGTCCTTCCGAGGCAGGTAAGGCAGTCTTGTTCCTCTCCTGGAGGAGTAATTTCAGGCCTCCCCGTGCCACGTGCTGGTCCTTTTGCCTGGAATGCTCTTCCTGTCTTCTCTGCTTTCTCGTTCAAGTTTTAGCTTGAGTGTCACCTTTTCCGGGAAACTGTCTAACCCCCATTGTTACCCACAGTGAGTCACAGCTCTCTGTTCTTCACTTTCACGATGTTTCCTCCTGTTTCCATCGTGCTACTCATTAGCCCAGGTGGCAATTATTTGTTGTGTTTGTCTTAGGCTAAGGTGGTCTTGTTTTTTCAGTTTTTGCATGTTGCTACTAAATGTGTTTTTGATAAATGAATAAATATAATAACAGCACAATAATAGCAGGTAAAAATTATTTATTGAGCATTTACCATGTGAATGCACATGCATTTTCTTATTTAAGTGTTCCAATAACCCTATGCTATGGTTACTACCTCAGTTTTAAAGATGTGGAAACTGAGGTTCAGATGAATTATGTAATTTGTTCAAGGCCGTACTGGCAGTGTGTGGTGGGTCTAGGATTTAAACCTAGGCCTTTTAAAAAAATTATTATTATTCCTAAGTCTTGCTTTAAACTATGTAGTATGAATGTTTCTCCCAAAGATTTTAAGCACCCTTGAATGTTGTATCTTGCACCTAAGAAGACAGGTAGTTGTCAGAAGAAAACCAATTGCTTAGACTGCCTTTTGCATAGAACTACTGCTAATATTTCTTTTTGCCAAAAGTAGGACTTAAACTCATATTAGGCAGTACAACGTAGTGGTTAAGACTGCCAGACCTGAGCTCAAATCCTAGTTCTGATACTAGGATCTTGTGTAAATTACGGTAACTTTCCCAAATCATAGTTTGCTTATACAGTATATAAAAAGGGGCTAAAAAAGCTATGTTGGAGAAATGAAACTGTTGTTATTTATAGATGCCATGATTGTGTGCTTAGAAAATCGAGAATAATCTACTAACTATGGTTGGCTGAAAAATGCACCTCCAACCCCACCTCCCACTCAGGATATCAGGTCCTAATCTCTGGAACCTGTAGCTGTTACTTAATTTGGAAAAAGCATCTTGGCAAATGTACCGAACTCCCTATTCGCCTCAGTAGGGAAAGCACCAGGTTCACGAGCCAAAGAAGAGACCCAGAGCCAGCAAATGACACATGGAGTTTTATTAGGGACTCACATACGGGGGATAGAGTCCAGTGGTGGTGGGCTGGGCAGGAGACCCGCCTTACCTACAGAAATGGTCCAGTGGCGGTGGGCTGGGCAGGAGACCCGCCCTACGTACAGAAATGGTCCCGTGGCGGTCGGCTGGACGGCATAACCACATGGCCTTGTGGTGGTGACCCGGGCAGGAGAACCACAGCCTCCTTTCTAACTGTCATGAAGTTAGAAAAACTTACTAGTGTTACAAAATAAAGCCCAGAAATAGACTCATTTATCTAATTGCCTGATTTGTGATTGAGGTATTACATAGGAAAGAAGGCATAGTTTGTTTACTAAATGTTGCTCCATCATGCCCTTTACATAGCATTTTCACTTAGACTCCCTGTAATGACCGCCACCTGGAAACTTCATTTAACCCCAAACTCAAGGCCTCAGTCCCCTGTACAGACTGGCCCATATTCCACAGGATTGGCCAGAGCCTCTGATGTTTGTCATAGATAAGGAATGGATCTCCAAGTTGATCGCTACTGGATTCCCTAGCACAAACATTCAGGTGCAGCTGCCATACAGGGTCAGTCAAAGGGCATGTTTAAATCATTGCTATTAGGTGCATTTACCCTAGAGCAGGTGTGTTTAAGTTAGAGATCTTGGGTTGGGGAGGTGATTTTGGATTATCTGAGTGGGGCATTAAGGCCATTGCATATGTCCTTATAAGAGGGAGGTTGAAGAAATTAAAGATGGCTTCAATAAATAAAAAGATAAATTATGTTCATGAATTAGAAACACAATATTGTAAGATGTCATTTCTTCCCAAATTAATATATTCTGTAGAGTCCCAGTAAAATTGTGGCAGTATTTTTTCACAAAAATTGATAAGCTGATTAACAAGGCTCATTATACATTTATGGTGACTTAGACAGTATAGAATTGTCACAGTGTTAGAAAAACTTAATGATACAAAATAAAGTCCAGAAATAGACTCATTACTTGATTTGTGATTAAGGTAGTGCATGGGAAAGAAGGCATAGTTTCTTTATTAAGTGTTGCTCCATTGATTATATGGAAAATGTATCTTTACTTTTCCTATTTCATACCAAACACAAAATCAAAAACGGATGGATAGCAGCTCTAAATGTAAAAGATAAAACAAAGTAGAAGAATGCATAGGATAACATCTTCATGATCCTTGAATAAGCAAAGCCTTATTTAAAAGGACACAAAAATTGCTAACCAGAAAAAGAAAAATACATGAACAAATTATACTTTGGTTTTTCAAAAGACATCAATAAGAGGATAAGAATGTAATGCAAAAATAAAAAAGTATTTTCAACACATATATCCAACAAACGTCTTGTATCCAGAATATATGAAGAACTCTTACAAATTAGAAAAAGACAGCCCAATAGAAAAATAGGCAGAAGGCTTGAGTAAACATTTCTCAAAAAATAAATTTATTTTTCCATGTGGAAAAATAAATAAGTAAATAAAATAAAGCGAACCATGTGAAAAGGTACTTGATTTCATAAATCATCAAGGGAATGCAAATTAATGTCTCATTGTACCACTGCACACTCATTGGCCTGGCTGCAAAGCAGAAAGAATGTTCCAAAGGCTGGTGAGAATGGGTGGCAAAGTGAACTCTCCTATACTACTGGTGGAAATATAAAGTTGTGTACTATTTTTGGTAAAGTGTTAGTATTTAGTAAAGCTAAGCATATGCATGTCCTGTTCTCCAGCTATTTCTTTTCTAGTTATACACCCACAAGAAATGTACTGAAGTAATCACCAAACAATATATGCTAGAATGATCATAGAAGAATTATTTGCAATAGTAAAAATAAAATGGGATATTACTCATATGTCCAAAAACAGTAGACTGAATAAATTTCGTCTTATTCATATAATGGAATACTATATAGAAATAAGCAAAAATGGTCTATATTCATGTGACAATGTTAGTGAATATCAGACAGCATCATATTGAGTGAAAAAGGCCAGACCTAAAACAGTACCTATTTGTTAATCCACTTGTATAGAAAACAGAAATGGACAAAACTAATCCATGCTGCTAGATATTAGGACAATGGTCACCCTTGCATAGGCATGGTAACTGGAAGGGAACCCAAAGATGGACCTCAGAGTGCTTGTCATATTCTGTTTCTTTATGTCAGTGTTGGTTACATGTGTGTTTAGTTTGTGAATATTCACTGCGGCCAACATCTATGCTATGTGCACTAGAAAAGTAAATTATGCTTCAGTAAAATGTTAATAAAAACTTACCACATATTCTATGGTATTATGATGAGGATTAAGAAAAGTAATTTCTTAGCCCAGGACCTGGCACTTAGCAAATATTCAAAATGTGACAACTTTTTTTTTTTTTTTTTTTTCCCGAGATGGAGTCTCACTTCTGTCACCCAGGCTGGAGTGTAGTGGCGTTATCTTGGTTCACTGCAACCTCTGCCTCCAGAGTTCAAGTGATTCTTCTGCCTCAGCCTCCCTAGTAGCTGAGACTACAGGTGCACATTACCATGCCTGGCTAATTTTTGTATTTTTAGTAGAAACGAGGTTTCACCCTATTGGCCAGACTGGTTTTGAACTCCTCATCTCATGAACTGCCTGCCTTAGATCCCAAAGTGCTGGGATTATAGGCGTGAGCCACCATGCTTGGCCCTGATAACTATATTTATTTTTGATATATAACATTAATTATTTGCTGTTGATTATATGCTACAGCTAATGCTACCAGCTTCATTTTTCTTTTCTTTCTTTCTTTCTTTTTTTTTTTTTTTTTTTTTTTGTTGTTGTTCTTTAAGTTCTGGGGTACATGTACAGAACATGCAGGTTTGCTACATAGTTATACACATGCCATGGTGGTTTGCTGCATCCATCACCCTGTCATCTACATTAGGTATTTCTCCTAATGTTATCCCTCCCCTAGTCACCCAACCCCCGACAGGCCCTGGTGTGTGATGTTCTCCTCCCTGTGTCCATGTGTTCTTATGGTTCAACTCCCACTTATGAGTGAGAACATGTGGTGTACGCTTTTCTGTTCTTGTGTTAGTTTGCTGAGAATGGTGGTTTCTGACTTCATCGATGTCCCTGCAAAGGACATGAACTCATCTTTTTCATGGCTGTGTAGTATTCCATGGTGTATATGTGTCACATTTT